ATAACCCACAAGAGCAACCTGTCATTTCCTTTAATAACAGCCTGTATATCCTTTCATGAGAGAGTGCATTGAAGATCTGTCAAAGGGTAAAACCTTTTGAACAAGCGTTTGTCCATTTTCCTGCATTAGAATCCAAACAAGAAACCTTCATGTTCTGCAAATCTGGATCTTGTATTTTAATCACTATGTTCAGCACAATCTGATGTATTTTATTTATTTTTGGATGGTCACTACTGCTGTGTAAATCAAATTTTAATTTGATTTTAATGGTTAGGGTGTCATGTTAAGCTCCATATTGGTTACATACATGGCATTTATTAGGAACAGCAGTCTCTTTGGTGAAGAAGACTATGGTTGCAGTGGTTTGAGCAGTTCCCAGTAAGTATCTCCATGTAACTCATGCAGCGCAAAGAAACACCACCACTGTGAGAAGTTTGGGAAGTTTTATTACTTCTTTAAAACTTGTGTGTGTACTCTCGGTGACGTTCATCATCTCTCACTAATACTGAATCCTGTGAGTGACCACAGAGGCTGGGTGGCCTCCGGTGACGAGCCAGGCTGTTTGTGGACGCCAGAGTGAAGGTTAACTCGGCGCCAGATAGCAGAGGTCACCGGCAGCCCTGGAGACTGAGATGGATGTGTGTTTGGTCTGGAAGGGAGACCTGCCTGGAGACGCTCTCTCCAACAGAGAGGCCTCAGTGTAGCTCGCCCACTAACTCACACAGACAAACTCCTGTACAGTATACATGGACCAGAGTGTAAAATAACATATCTTTACTCGAGTACTGTGCTTACAGGTCATTTTGCAGTGCTGGTATTATCCTTCTTCTGAGACCTCATGCCTCCACATCAAAACTGCACAGTAGTAATACACTACATGGCCAATAGTATATGGACACCTGTCCATTACACCCATATGTGGTTAATGAACATGTCATCTCAAAACTATGAGCATTAGTCTTTGCTATAACAGCCTCCGCTCTTCTGGTTTCAGACACAAGAGAATTAATGAGGTCCAACAGTAAAGTTGGATGATTAGGTCTGGCTCACAGTGTTCCAGTTCATTACAGGAGCTGAATGGGGTTGAGATCAGGGCTCTGTGCAGACTAGTCAAATTCTCCCACAGCAAACTTGGAAATCCACTTCTTCATGGCGCTGACTGTGTGCAGATGCGACACTGTCATGTTGAAACAGGAAAGGGCAAAACACAAACTGTTGCCACAAAGTTGAGAACATTATCGCCTGAATTACTGTGTTCATTTACTGTCACAACAATGTGATTTCCCTTAATTGGAAATGAAAGCACACGTACATTTGGTCATATAGTGACATTTTTAATCTGCATCTGGATCTAAATCTACAAATGAAAATACCAATTTATTTATGGACAAGGATGTATGTGCAGGATATTAGTTTTTCATTCAAGTGCAGTAGCTCATTAGAAAATAGTATCAATGTTAAAATAAACCGCTGCCATCTTTAGGTTTTAGATTCGGCTTGAGATAAGCACAAAAACTCTTTAGCAAATCCATAAAACAGCCATCTGAGACATTTTAGGTTTGTGTCATGTAGAAGCATGGTGTGTCATTATATATCCATTGACTGTTTAGTTTTCCAATATTGAAGCATTAACACAAAAACAAGGACCACTCTCCACAATTAGTTTCACACACCTGGGACAATTTCGGTGCAACTACTTCACTTTTTTGTAAATCAAAGTAAAATTTCAATATTGAGACTTTTTACCATGTGTTTTATTTCAGAAAAGGATCCTTACAGATCAGGTAAAGTACTTCATCCATACAGCTATCTTTCATTCTCTTTTTGTGAAGGTTATTAATCCTGAATCATTGTGACACTTTTAAATAAGTAGAACAATGTGCTTTTAATTTACCAATAACTGACAAGTTAACTCGCCATTAAGGAGATCCAGTTTAAATTCAGCTCAGTTGGATGAAGCCTTTTTAAAACACATTTTATGGTTTGTTTTCCCTGCTGAGATGCCAGGTTGGCTTGAGTTTCCCTACAAGGAAACATAAAACCAGAAAGATTACACAATCACAGGGACGTGTTTGAAAGTCAATTTGTTTTTCTTTTCTCTGTCATTGCCAACTTACCTAACAAGGTTAAACCCCTCCCATCGGACCTGAAGCTCCAAAGGTGTGAAGGTTGACTTTGGTCTGCCCATTCATCACTCAGAACAAGAAGTCACAGTCTACCAGTGAGAGCGGTTATTTATCTACACTATCAAAACCCTGTCACACACTGTCATCTAGTGGCCAGGCTGCAAACACCACTAAACTAAATGATGTGAATTGTACTTCTTTTGAGCAGCCTCTGAGCAAGGCACTCTTCTCCTATGGAGCTGCCCAATTAATGTCCATACAATCAGTTTAAGGAGGTTTGAAAGCTGATATTTTGAATCTGAAATTGCTTATTAGTCATTTATTTTATTGCCTAAATGTTTTTTTCATAGTTCCTTTCAACAGAACTTTTATCGTTGTCTGAGTTTCTATTTATGGCTTTATTATAGTCAATTGTACGTTTACTTTAACTTACATCTTTGTTTTGTATTAAGCGTTGATTGAGTACTGCACCTTAAAGTCTTGAGCCATTTCAATTTTATTTATTCTTAACTTAGAAGTATGAAACTACTACTAAAAGTATAAAAAAATGCTGAGTCTTTCACTAGATGTTTTCAATAGACAGGAAATTTCTACAATTAATACTGCTTTTCAACGAGGAATTAATTCACTTAACAGCATTATTAAAGAACTTAGATATACTGGAAACAAAAGCTACAATTAGCAGTGATTACAGAGAAGAGAAGGACCTAATGTTTTATAAAGATGAACACAAGCCCAAAGCATCAGTATAGGTTTAATTTAAAATGGGTTATTTTCTATTACAGATAAATAGCTACTGGAAAAGACAGAACCACAGAAGCTGTGTTGAGAGATTTATTGCAGTTTGTTTCAAGCGATATGAGTAACAGCGTGATCACAGCAGCTTCTGAACAATCCAGATGTCTCCGATGTGTTCAGTTCTCCTTTGTTTAGGAGCAGAGCAGATTTACATCAGACTAGTAAGCAGAGCAGACAGACAGCACTGTGCGGTTTAAACCGCAGAAGACAACAGTGTGGTTGCAGTTTTCACCCTAAGACGGGGGCATTTTCTTGTTCATAAACCTCTAGGTCTTTGTGAAGATTTCATTGATGCTCCAGAATACTTTTATACTACTTCTACTTCAACCACAATGTCGTGTGAAATTTCCAAACGTCACGGTTCTTACACTCTTATCCTTTACCAGCTTTCTAAAGTAGTGCATAAACATTCAGCTGTCGTGACTAATGGAAGAACAGTGGTGACCATAAATCTTTAACATCGCTTTGAGCTACAATCACAGAAGACCTGAACTGATGAAGCCTGAAGCAATGTAATAACTACAGGATAATGTAGCAACATGAAAAGGTAATAAAACCTTCAGTTGAAAACAATTCAGATGTTATAACATCATGTCACTGGTGTAACTTATTATTTCACAAATGATGATTTGAAAATAATGATGATTAAATGTACATTCTTTACACCTTTTACATTATTAATGAGTATTATTATTGCAGTATTGCAAAGGCCTTAAGATGTAATGAAGGGTGGATTTCTTAAATTAACATATATTGTTTCCAACTATTGCAGGGACACAGTAACATCACCTGATTGGTGTTACATTATCAGTTTGCAACAATGAGTGTTTGTGTGTTGTAATTTAAACTAAAACTGGCCTGATTCGTGCAGCCTCTTTAAATTCAGTTTATCTGCAGATGTTTCTACAGCAGAGCTCTGCAGTGTCCTTTAGCTCTACAGAGTCTATTTGGGTTCATGGTTTTGTTCTTATGGCCTGCAAACTCCGCCTTCAGTAAAAGCATTTCAAGCTGTAGCAGGCAGGGAAATAAGCTATAAACCCAGACAAAGTCAAAAACTAACTGGTGAACATAGTGAATTCATCGAGAGACTTTGAAACACAACTCCAAATGCATGCTAGTGTTGCTCTCTGCTGGATGTGCAAATAGGCAACTGTTTGTTTCACAATAACAAATTTTATACGTCGATTTTATGTCGGTGTTACAGCTTGTTCTGCTGCCCCCATGTAGCCAAAAAAATTAACGCAGCTAAAACTAAAAATACAGTCTGACAACTGACTAAATGGAAAAAGTACATGGAAGACATTAAATTTATATAAAAGTTTTCTTGAATGTACAACATTAGAGTTACTGAAGGCAGCCAAATGAGCGACACTGTTTAGAGTTGTAAGGCTTTTTGTTTGGCTCTGCACGCTGCAATTTTTAAACCCAAAGTTCACCCACAGATGAACAGTCTGTTGTTCTAATTGAAAGTCAAAGGTCAGAGGGAAAGTGTAAAAACTATTTAATTAAATGCTTTACAGATAAACTTATCTTGACACTGCAGCTTTCACCCTCCTGTTTCTTCCCCTTTATCTCATTTTTTTCTATTCAAAATAAATACTATGTTCCATTTGATTCTTTTTAAATGTTGTTCTAATGCATTTCCTTGCCTTTATATAAAACATAGCCTCTGTGTATGAACAGTGACATATAAGACTGCCTTGCCGTCTCCCAGACTTTTGACTGCACCCAGTGTAAAAAGGGGGGGAAAAAGCCTCAAATGGAAAATGTTAATTGTTTGTTCAAAAGCTTTGTTTCCAAGAAAGTTGAGTTGCAAGACAACTGTGTCCTAATTATTTCAAGAAATGATACGTTTGTATTTTAGCCCACATTGTTTTATAACTGGCCTCAGTCTACACAGCTGTAAAATAACTTCAAAGTTCGCCTGACAAACATAATGTTGATGACCAACTGAGTAGGAGACGATAGAGTAATTTCATGGTACTAAACCATTGTACCCTCATTTTTTTGTTATGAAATTGTAACTTCTAAAATTACATTTTGCTCTCAGAACACACACAAAAAAAAGTTTCATTCTTGCTTTGGAGGAAATGAGAAATTTACATAAAAGTTCACTGAGACCACAATTTCCTTTTAGGACCCAAAACAAGATGTTAACAATTAATGTGTTTACAACAACAAAAGACTCCAAGAACAACTTGTTTTAGGCAGAGTAACCATAACTGGGAACAAAAACAGGGACGGATGTGGAGCCAGAATACAATGATCCCCAGGCACTGATGTTACAGAAAACAATAAAGGAAACACTGGACTTCCAGAGGAAAGCCAGAGAAGAAGAACAATGTCACAGTACATGCGCATGAAGCACCTGTGATGAGATAACATTTCAGCTGAATGAACATCAGCGTGTGTTCAAACAAGTCACTCTTCACTTCTTCTTCTTGAGATTTAACAGTACATGAAGAAGCAGTGCGTGCCCCAAGGGTTTTTTTTATCCTCAGTCTCTTGAGTGAAGCAGGCCGGTGCAGTCAGTTTACGTATTTGAGAAATAACTTTACAAGATCAACACAGCAGATGTGAGGAGAGAGTCTCCGCACTGAAATATAATCAGTGGATAGTGTTTCTCAGCAGCAGCAGGGATCCAACAGAGCAGGAAAATACAGATTCAGGTATTATAGTCAAGGTTACACTGATGAACATTTGGATCTGTAAACTGACATGCAACCCAATAAATGGTAAACTCTTCTTCAGCATGCAGTCAGCGTTGGTACTTATTGCTGCGCAAGGAAACATCCAGTGAGCTCCTTAACATATTTACATTTACAGAGATTGCACTTTAAAAGAAGGCCTTCAGACAGTGTATACAGCGGTTAGGACCATTATAATGATCCTTCTGCTGTTTCAAGTGTCCACTTTAGGGACCTAAGACCCATATTTCACCTTCTTCATCCTCTTGTTATTGAAAAAAGCACATAATCTGGATTGAGAATCATTTAAATAGTTTAGTCCGAGTGAGTTAAATTTTGTCACTCTCATGAAGGCTGTACCCATCTGCGACTGTGTTTACGTGCACATTAGTATCCCAAGTTATAACTGGGTTTTTGGAGTATCTGGGTTATGTGTTGCACATCTTATCCAGGAAAGAATTATACTTAAAATAAATGCTCTAAGGAGTTAATTTAAGAGTCAAAAAGCCTATTATTATTTGGATTTTTAGGAAAGGTACTTTGTTTTAAGTAAAAACGTTTAATATCTCCAGTAGAAATTAACAAGAATGTATGTATTCATGATATATATAAAAAAAAAAAAAAAAAAACAGGGAAGGAAAAAGTAGGAAATGAAAAGGTTCTTGTGGCATAACATCAAATTTGTGTTTCAACATTATCAGCTTACAAGAAAACAGCAGCTGCAGTGTGTAACTGATTACTCTGAAAAATGCTTTTTACTTCAGTTTGAGTATTGTTTAACATGACCAATAATATACTGTAGAGGAATGCTAAAAACTGTCTCACATCTGGAGATCTCCTACATTAAAGAGCATTTTTAGGTCAATAAAAACGTGACAAAAACCTTTTTAGTCTAAAACTAAAGGCTTTTTACTTTCTTATCTAAATTTGACTTGAATTCCAGTTTAATAACAGGCCCAGGTTTCTGATCATTGTGTGATGTGTGCAGGTGCGTACTCAACTCTAGTTGGTCAGTAAAATTAAAAAAAATATAATGATAATGAGGCTCTGCACACTGAGGTTAATTCCGGGCACTGGCAAAGCAGAAGATAAACTACACTGTCACTTATTTTCCATTACTGCGATCAGATATAGAAGCCCGATCCAGCAGATTGGAGAGTGCGGCCAGATTTAACTGGCATGAGGTAACTATCGAGCAGGATGTGGAGGAGTCAACAACAAACCACCACCAACGCAGATGATCAGAAACCTAGATAACACTCGACTGTTCTTATCCCTGCTGACAAGAAACAGGTTTATGTTCCATGTAAACATCGTAACCTGAATATGATCCAAACCACGATAACACTCAAAACCGAATTACTAGTGCGCATGTACACTGAGGTCAAGTTTTCTGGATTTACTTTGTAGCAATTTCAGCAACTTAAAGTTTCACACTGAACATCTCTGCAAAAGTTCACTGACAACATAAAGTATTGTTTTCCCTACAATGTCCACTCGTAGAGACTAAAACATTTTTATGGGTATGTTTAGGCACTCGCAGAACATGGTTAAGGTTAGGGAAGGATTGTGTTCTTGGTTTAATATTGAAAAAATTGTCAGGGAGATTCTGGGACAAAAAGCCCCTCAGACTCATGACCTCAGTCTTCCTAAAATTCTCATAACATCCTTTATGCACTTTTTCCAAATTGGATATATAACCTACATGTGAAAACAAGGAATACATTTCTAAATAACTACAAAAACATCCTCCATCATCTTATATACAATAATACTTCTATACTTTGTATTTACAGACCACATACTGTGCAAACATTGTGCATTTCTGAAATCCACTTTCAGCCAAATAATGCCATTAGCCTAGTTTGTCTGTGCAGTCAAGTACTTCTAAACCTTTGTGCCCAAATTCCTATAAATATACTAATAATCTATAAATCCAAATTCAAAAACTAATCGCTAGAGTGGCAGAACAATTCAGTTTCAGGGTAAAATTTGATATTCAGTGCAAATATTAATTTCCAACCTTTTGAAATTAAAAACAAATGAACCAACCACATTTTATCTCACACAGAAACAAACACAAAAACTGAAGGCAGCTGACATCTGGCATCACACACTGATGTATGACATTTTCAGTCTCAACACTAAAAGGGATTCAGCACTTTTAGTCTGCGTGAACCCGATCACAAACTGCACACACAGAACTGTCAACATTGTCTCTTGGTGTTTTTGAAGGCACTCAGATCCTCTAAGGCCTTTCTTTTCTTCCTCTGTAATCAACACCTTCTCATCAGAATACCCTCCCTCATAAACTCCCTGAAGCAGACAGCTCACACTTTAAGATCAACGTGTCTCATCGTTTAGATGGCTGCAGGTCTGAAACGCCGTCACTGTCGGCTCGTTACCGAGACACTTCACCGTCCTGACAGAGAAGCCCAGACAAACCCATGACGGATTGAGGTGCAAAAAACTTTAATTCTCTGCAGAGACGTGATGAAGGATGGAAACAGGGAGCAGGAGCAAAGTGTGAAAACATTTAACTGTCTCATTCGGTGTAAGGGGCAGGGTGTCTGCAGCTTTCACCAAGTTCAGGTCTACATATTTAGGTCCCTGTTGGCTGTTTAAAATTTTTCCACAAAATTCTATGTGACTAAGCTAAATTGTATTTGATTAAAACGACTCATTTTCAAGGTTATTTTTAGTTTTTTTTTTAAGGCTGTTCTAAGAAATGTATCAACATTGGTGACGGTAAAATGGCTGTGAGATTAAATTTTAACATTTTAACATCTAGTTTTGTGAATCCAGCTCTTTCTGGACAAAGTACTCAAGAAATAGTTTGGATTTTACTCTTAATTTCACTTTGTGAGTGAAATGACCATATCAGAAGTCCATATGGATATGCAAATCTACAGTTCACAGATTCTGACTTAAAAAAAAAAACATCAGCCATATCCTGGACACCACATCTGTGGATCATTCATGTGGGAATTTCTTTTGCACCATAAACACAAACTCGCTTTTAAAGGCGTAATGATAAACAGATATTAGAGGTCAGAGGAGTCGGCTTTCTGCTTGGCCAATAAGATAGTTGTGCTGTAATGTTTACATAAATCTTAGTGCAGCCTTAAAGATTATATTTAAGATCTTGATATTATTATACACAAACACTCGGGGTTGAATAAAAAATTCTCTAACCCTGAAAAATAATTTCTTCAATATTAACAAGCAAAATAATCTGTAAACATTTCAGCATTCACAGAATCTTTTCACGGATTTTTAGATAGCCATGAAATCACATTTGTTTTCAGCTTGATAGCATGATAGATAAAACTACACTTGGAAACTGGGAAGAGATTTAAGCTCCTCAAGATCAGTGCACATAACGGTTAAAAAAAAAAAAAACAGATCTTTTATGTCTTTTACGCATTTGTGTATCCTGCTTTTTCTGTCAAAATAACCACATACACACTGATGTTAAAACTGTCACTGGAAAAATATGTCTGGTTGCATTCCAGTGGCCGAGGCGGGTGGCTCTGTGGGGAGTGGCAGCGAGTGTGGGGAGGCTGGTTAGGAATCAGGAATGAGGGTTTGGGACGAGAAATGTGGGGAAAAAATGGCTGCAAGGATGAAACACACCTAAAATGGCAGTGTGGAAGTGATGAGGAGGGATCGAAAAACAGGAAAGAAACAAAGTCAAACAAAAAAGGATCATCCATCATTTATTCAACACTTATGATTCATCTTGTAAATGTTGTTTTGTTACATGAACACTTGATTTGTGTGTTAAAAAAAGAAAACTGATGCTTTTCGTACAATTGAGATTTCGGTTAAACTAAAATAAAACCCAGTACCCGGTCACTTTTTGAAGAACATTTCTGCATTTTGATGAATAAAAAACTTTGGAAATTACTAATACTAAATACTAATAGTAATAATAATATAAATAACTTGACCATATTCTCAAATTGAAACCTCCAGTAGTTTATATTTTATATTGAGTAAAAGACTAATATTTAAAGTTGCAGCCCGGTGACAAAATATACTGCAATATGTCACCTCGATTTATTTTTTTTTAATAATTTCTGTCTCTGCTGTTAGATTTTCTTTTAAAACCTATTTGTTTTTCTTCCTAGAGTATATTTTAAATCTTAGTTTGGGGTTTAATACCGTGTAAACTGAAAGTGACGGCCCAACACGAGGCTTTTAAACATTTCCAAGCTGAAAATGAATCTTTACTGTGTGTTCAGACAGAAGGCATTTGATTCGCACTGGCCGAAGCAATTCGCATCAAATGTCCATTTCCACTTGAGCGAAGCTAGCTAGCTTACAGTTGGTGCAGTACATTTGCTGTTTGAGGCGAATAAACACAACAGGTCCAGCGGTCAAATTTGCACGAATGACATGAGGTGAAAAATTTGCTCCATTTCTGCCACCTTTAGAACAACAACCTTTTGTAAAAACATGGTGGCTACATTGTTATTTAAAATGCAATTAAATGTATTTTTCTACACCTATTTCATTTTCAGTTTCCAGACCTGTGTATGAACGTGAGCGAGGTCTGAGCTTTAAGGTCATGTAGAAGCAAACGTCTTGTTTCCTTGACTTTAGAAACACTGCTGAGCCTGCTTTCAGTCTCCAGCTGCCTTTTTCTCTACAACTCAACAGCTCTCCCTACATCCACCTCAAGAGAAAATATAATATGTTGATACATTTTTATATATATTCTACATAAAGGGCTAGTGCAAAATACTTAAAAGGGTAAAAGGTCGGTCCTCAGAAAGTCCATTCAATAATCAACTACAAGCAACTCCCAAATAAGCAGAAAAACAGCCTGATCTCTAGAAGAGAAGCAGAATGCACAAAACACTTTCTTTGCCTTTTCGTTTTATAGCATCCTTTTTCTTGCTGACAGCAAAAGGACTCTTTCATTTCTTTTCTAAATTACATTTATTACAAATAAACTTTTGTTCCAACTCAAAAGTGGAGAAAAATAAAATTCAAAAAGATACATGATGCATAAATCAATTATTGCTTTAAATCTTTGTTCTTCTAGTACAGAAAATCCACAACTGGTCTCCTAAAACTCAACAGGAATCTTTCAGGACGGTTTGTATCGTAGATAACAACACGCTAACTCCATCTCCCTGCTGGTACTAAAGCTGCTCAAACCACATCAGACTGAACAGTCGCACCCTGAGTCCAAACATTAACACACAGCTAGTGTATCAAAAATCTATTTCTTCTTCTAACTAGCCTAAAATATCAAATTAAAGTCACTAAAAGAAAAAGGGCACTGCTCCTGGACATGGTTTAGAATGAAAAACGACTGATTAAAACTTGCTGTCAAAAAGCATCTTCTGCCAACTGTCTCCCTTGTTTCCTCATTCCTTAGATACTTTTTTTGTTTAGCTAATGTTTTTAAAAGAGAACAGCTTTAACATCACAGTGCAACACTGCTGCTAGCGGTGAGCCCCACACTCCAGCCAGAGACGAGGACGCACTAAACTACTATGCACGGCTGCAGAAACCTATGTTTTGGGTTGAGTAAATAATAGATGTCTGTTTTTTGGAAATATAAACATTGTTTTAAGTCTGTATTACTAGAATGTTGCATTCTGCTGATATTCATATCAGGTTTCTTTCATATTCTCCATTTCAAAATGGATAACTTGAATGCCTTTAAAGGTGTAACAGGTTTTCATCATAATTAATTCATGGTAGCATAGCTGAAATATAATCCTCACAATTAATGGTCTAGTACATGAAATGATCCTTTAGGGTTGCAGTAGCACAACATGTGTAAGAATACAGCATTTCTGATAATTGCTAAATTGTTTAAGTAATTCTCTGATTCCAGATTGTGTCTTTTTTTGTTTTCGGACGAAACAAGCACTTTGAAGATGTCACCTTGGGCACTAAATTGTAATAAGCATGAGAGCTGTAACAATTAGTCAGTTAGTTCATCCACAGAAAATCAAAGACAGTTTTGATAACTGAGTCTTTCAACAAGCAAAACTGCCAGACATTCACTAGTTTCAACTTCTGGAATATGAGGTTTTGCTTTTGTTTCACATCATTGTAAAGTACATTTCTTTGGGTTTTTGACTGTTGGTTGGACAAAGCAATCAAACAATCATAGTTTCCAGATAACTAAAATGCAAGGGCTGTGCTGTTTCAAGTACCTGTGAGATGAAATACGATCCAGAAAGGCCGAACTGAAGGGCATCAACAAAGATTTTATCAGTTAATCTTCCGTTGATATTCATCTTTTAAGATAAAAGTAGTACATTTTCTTTGCGTTCTTGCTTGAGAAATAATTTCAATTAATCAATTATCATACAGTTGCCATTTCATTTTCTGCCAATTGACTAAGAGTAACAAAAATATTATATTAATAAGAATAAATCACCCAAACACTGCACAGTGGTTTAGAAATTTTAACTCTGGAAAAATATTACAAACCGGCAGGTTATAAGGAAAAGGTAAAGAAATCTACCAGAACTGAGTAACTGTCCATATTTTATTGGCCAAACCAGATGATGTTGCATTGCGACCTGTATCTTTTTCCTGGAGCCCGTTACATCAATACAGCATCTTTAAATTCAAATTCTGTTCATTTCAACCCTTTCTGGACCCACAATGGAACAGTGGCAGCACTGCCCTGAGCCCGACCTGTCAGGCAGGGGGACACAAACACCACTCTCTTCTGCCAAGTGTTATCGAGAGGTTGTCACAACGTTCCTGTGACGTGTTTACATTAACTGCTGATTTATGCGGCAGAGAGCATGCCATGTCTCGCCGGATCGTCTCTAACCTAAACACAACCCTCCAGTCAAGCTGGCTTTGGCCCATGTATGGGGCGAGTGTTTACCCTGCACCCATCAGTCTGACTGGACCCAGGCGAAGCAGAACCCTCGCCCTGTCAGGCAGCGCTGGGTCTCAATTGGTACAGTGCCTGATGTAAGATGAACAACCTCTTAATCATCCACAGGTATGACAGCAGATTCCAGGAACGGATTAAACGAAGCGTTGTATGCTCAGTGTTATCTCAAGTACCGCTTTGTCTTCTACATTTACACCTGAGCTCTTCTCCAGTTACTGTGGAGGAATAACTGAGGGATGACTGACCACAAACTACCAGACATGCAATTCAGCAGTAAAGGTGGAACAACCCTTTACTCTGAGTTCACACTGCAAACAACATGAACTGAGCAGAAGTCCGTTTATTTGCTTTAGAGCTGAGCAACCTGGCAAACTGTGCCGATGTGTGGACAATCCAGAAACAGCTGAGAGTCATATTATTGTGTTTTTCTTGGTTACCTAACAATTTTATTTTGATTCAAAAACAACAGCTATGCCTTGCAGAAGCTAAATGAATGTGAAACTGATCACAACCATTCAAAGCTTGCCAGTTTTTCCCACTAAGCCTGTTCATTAATAGACAGTAAATGCCTTATAAACCACACACGCAGTACAAACCCACTGAGGCTCTTGTAATGAGTATTTTCTGGGATTTTTTTCCACATTGTATATATTAAATGATTAAATAAAACCAAGCAGACATAATCAAAAGAATCATTAGTTGCAGCCCTAGTTGGAATATGTTTGAGTACACACAACGGTCAAGCTGCTTTAGTGTGAACACAGTTCAGAGTCAGTAGTTCACTCGAGTATCATCTGAAATCTTCACTTCGTCCTTATTTACAACCTACACCCATTCATCGCTACAGTGCAAATATAACAAAACTAAGGACTCGGTATGTGACAACTCATCTACAACTGAATTCATCAAGACTTCTTCAGCCCAAAACTAAATTACATCAAGTCAGTCCTCGGTGAGAAGAGTATCAGAGCACTACCATCTTCTTAAAACACTTAAAAATAAATACACAATAGTATATGTTCCATAGTATCTGTGTCAAGAGAAGGCCACTTTGTATTTAAACTACGGGGGTCAACATTACCACCATGACCATGCTACTCAAGTGCAGAAAGTAAACTACTTAACATTCAGTCAAACTACCACTTGTCACAGCAACAACTGACCAGTATTTGATTGGTGTGCTGTTTCAGTGTTCCTTAGTCAGTCTTTACGGATTCATTTTGTTGATATTTGGAATAATCAGAATGTGTAATTAAATGTGCCACAGTGCAACTTTAGCATTTTACAGACATCTACTAAACACAACAGGAATAGATATGAAGAGCAGCGCTAAAACGAGACAAAAAAATCAAAATGAATTACAGTACAGTAATCTTAACATTGATGTAAATGTTGCTAACTTCAGTCCTTGGCTCTTTAGACAAACATGCACAACTTCTACTGCCTGAATTCTCTAATTATTTCTTTTAGTGTGAATGATGAACTTATTTTAATAAATGTCTATGTTGTGTGTAATTATTAATTTAATTATAATTACATATTTGGTTGCAGCCACCATTTCAACATCCTCCAGCTGGCAAAAAGCTACTCTCTCCAAGTACAAGTTACTTTACAATAGGCGGTATGATGGATAAACAAAATCTAAGAGGAAAAGAGTGTAGTGATGGTGATGACAATGATTTTTACTGTGCAAAGTCCAGAAATGATTTCTCATTTCTTTGAGATGATGACAAATTAAATGAAAGGCAAGACAGTTCACCTCAAACTTTTAAACAATACATCTTCTAATATATTTTCCAAACATAATTTTTGATAGATTGCTCCTTTGCCAACTCTTTAAGCTGGGAGAACAACCATGGTTTCAAGTCACTGTGTTCCCTGTATCAATACATTGAGTTAAATTACACAAAACCAAATATTAACATATAATACATGAGTAGTCCAGAAGAGTTTAGCATAATGGCAAATTAAGTTTATTTTTTATGTTGTGCGTTTTAAAAGGCAATATGCCTTTTTTTTTAAATTTTCTAAGAACTCATTTAATGTTGAAATTATATTTTGAGAAGCCAGCTGTTACCTCATGACTCTCTCGACTTGTCCAGAACGATCTGGCGTCCAGAGTTTTTTGTGACCGGGTGCTAGTCACAAACTTCTGTGGTGGTCATATTTTACAAGTACTGCGAGTCTTTACGGAAAATAAGTTAGCTGTTGAGTGTAGCTGCCTTTTCCTTTTCAGCCTTCTCTTTGGCCTTCTCCTTCTCTATCAGCTTCTCCTCCTTCTGCAGCATCACCATGATGTCGGCCACCTGAGAGGTGGAGATGTCGACGTCCTCCTTGTCGATCAGTTCCACCACCTGAGATAATGCAAGACAAAAGGAATTCATTAGATTAATAAGATTTCCAATCTTAAATATTTCCATACAACAATAAAACTCCACGGCAAGAATAAAAAGCCCTGTTTATACAGCCTGTTCAAGGCGGCAATTTCTGTGTCATTTTTCCAGCTTACAGTTCTGTATAAAACGGGTTGTTCCGCTGTTAAGCCAGCAGTGGAGGTAACAGAGCCAAATCAACGTCAGTATAACAATGGGGAGCCAGAAGGATGGGACATGGGTGTGACTTTTTGATGACGTGTTATGTGTGTGACCACTGGGTTGATTAAAAAAATAGCAGCTAACTCAAAGAAGAAGAAGATAGCAGCTAACCTACAGTAACTGAAGCTTCTCAAAACTCCCGCCAATATTTTTGTTTAGAAAGCAATGTTTCAGCAATATATATTACACGTATAGTGACGAGTCTTCTTTACACACTGTTTCTCTGTTTAAAATGGGCAAAAGCTTAGTTTGGGGAATAAAGACATCCACAAGTAATATTTATTAAACAGTAAATTAGATTGGAGTGGGAAGATGTGGTGCATGGATGTATGGGACCACCATTTTCCAATTGAGCCCCGCTCACTTGAAACCAGTGAAGGAAACAAGACCACAAAAAAAAAACCTCATGTGTCTTTCATAAATCTAACATACATTGATAAACGGGTGATGTGTTAAATCCCAACCAAATGACACTTGGCAGGCAAATTCCACCAAGTCTTATGGTGCGATATTGTGCTACATATGTGCATAATCACAGCTCATCCTTTGATGTTCAGTAGCCCTGATCTGTAATAAACCATTTTTAACCCTTTTCACTTTGAAACAAAACTCAAAAAGAGCATTTTATCTGGAAATGAAAATGAGAAACACAACAAATCAGAGAAGAATTCCTCATTTTTTTTATTATCCTTTCAACCTACTTTGATGACGTCGTCTATGTCGATCTTCCCGTCCTTGTTGTCGTCGAGGGCCTCCGCGATGCTCTGCAGCTTGTGCTCTGGAATGTTCTGGATCTGCCGCATGACGCCGATCAGCTCGTCGATGCTGATGAGGTTCTCCCTGAAGGTGTAGAACAGACTGCATACAGGAAGCGGTATGTAACAAATTGTGATGAAAATGTGGTGGAGAACATGCTGCATTAAAGGTTCCCAGATCACACCAATCACGCTGATTTTGCAAGTTTCATTCGTGTTCACGGCAGATTTTGTTTTTAAAGCTGAAAATCATTGAATAGGTGTCTTGCGTGCCGACATCTACTGCATGTCTGTCCATCCTGGGGGAGGGATCCCTCCTCTGCTGCTCTTCCTGAAGTTTCTTCCATTTTTCCCCTTTTAAAAACTGCTTTCAGGCGGGAGTCTTTCCTCTAAGGTTAGAGTCTGTTGTATGCTGTGCAGATTGTAAAGCCCTCTGAGGCAAATTTGTGAATTGTGATATTGGGCCATATAAATAAAATTCACTTGACTTGATAGTGTTTAAAGCTGCTCTGGGCAACTTGAAACACACACAACACAGAATTGGCAGCAAAAATAATCAATAATCATTTTAACAATTTCACTATTTTTATTTCTTTTTTTATATAAATAAATATTGTCTAGTGCATTGTTAAAATCAGACATTTACTATTTGTTAAACAAATACAGTTTGGAATGTCTTAAAGCTTTACAATCAAGCAGCTTGAGTTAGATCTTTGTATTCAATCTGATTTCATTCATTAAGGAAGATAAACTGTTATTAAAATTGGTACACAGCAACCAGTGGGTGGCACTTTGGTGTAGTGAGCACAAATGGAAGCTTACTGATTTCAGCAGCTGAGAATTGACAACCATGATGCAATATTAGCATTTGGCAAGCAAGCAAATGAAGGTCTATCACAGATCAGCTTACCTTTTGGCATCGCATTGTTTAAAGAATAATCTGTAAAATTATAAACAAATAAGGATTTGGTTTTTAAGTTGTAAACTAATAAGTGACATAGCTTGAGTTAGTTTTTTCTGGGAAACCTGTTGTGCCTTCTTTCATCTCCACCACCATTTTACAATTTAAGTAATGATGATGAGGATGAAAATGATGAGGATGAAAATGATGACGATGAGGATGAAAATGATGGCGATGATGATGACAGTCACAAAAATCCAGTATAAAAACTGAAATAACTTAATAACATAGTTATAACATTTTAGGGAAACGTGCTCACTACCTTTTTGTGAGCAAAGATTTCTGATGACTGTACACATCAGTGAGCCACACTGTTGCACAATACCACACACAGGCGAGGGAAGTCGAGTATCAAGAGACAGACTATAATCACTAAGGATAGTTTCGGTTGGGACATAATCAAAAATATAGAATATTGAAAGCCATAAACATTGTTTCCAAATTGGTGTACAGTGACAACTTGGAATGAAATCCTGTTTTTACTATTCTGAACTACCACAGATAGCAGTGTAGTAGTTAAAGTGACATATTCAGCTCTTACCCAACAGGTGGGGTGGTCCCACTGTCCATCTGTCCGTCCAGGATGGCCTTGTCCTTTTCCAGCTCTAGGATGATCTTGTCGATGCGACCGATCATGCGGTTTACTCTCTTAGACAGACGCTGGCTCGCCTTTGACTCCTCTACCGCCTTTTCTTGGCCGGTCTTAGAAAGCTCCTTCTTTATCTCTTCGAGATCCTGAAAAACATACATGAATACAAAAGTGAAACACAACACACGCACACACACGCGCGCACACACACACACACTAATTTGCATTTACCACAACCCAGACTACAAAAGCACATAACATAAATCGTCTGTTCTGAGACCAAATAATCTTAAAATTCTAAAACCTTTGATTTGATTGGCAATAAACCACAACTTTTGTCTCTCTGCAATAATTAATAAGTCTTAGACGGGTACCTCATTGTATTCCTGGACATCATCCTTCAGCTCTTCAAGCTCTTCTTTCTCCAGAGTTAGCAGCTTCTTCTGCTCCTTCAGCTTTGTGCACGCATCACTTAACAGGTCAATCTCTTCTTTGGTGATCTCCTCACCCTGGAATACAAACATACAATTGAGGAAATTTTCTCCCAAATGTCAGGAGTGATAGTAATCTGACACAGTATGTGCTTTGAAGGAAACTACATTAAAAAACTGCTTTAAAGCAGCTTAAGGTCATATTTTCCATCCAACATGGATGTGTGTCACAATACATTCCAGTTACTTTAAGGAGAAGATCAAAAAGTGCATTAATTTAACCAGTGTAGCACATGTGCATTTAATATAAACCCACATAAGAGACCAACCCTAACACACAAAATGGGTAAAAAGAGGGAAGCTCTAGATGACACCAGGGTACTCCCCATAACCCCAGAACACATTCCCACATGATGAAGAGAACTCTGTGGAACTACAAAGCCTGTTAGTTAGAGAGGGAAAGGTTCGACTTGGACAGGGACACTGCCTGGAAGGATCGACAAGGAAAAGAGGAGGAGAAATCCATGTAGATGTGGGCCAAACAGAATTTGCAAAGCATATTTAGGATTTCTTTAACCATTTCAGAGCATCAGATGAGTGATATTTTCTACAACAAACAAGTAAATGCTGATAAATGTTGAACATGACTACCGTGGTTTGTCCACACTACAATTTTGTTTTTGTCTGCTTTCATCCCATTTAATAAACACACAAGGCTGAACATGAGTATTTGTGGTTTGCCCTCACTTACTTTCTTTCGCAGGCTGATGTCAACATTTATCTAATCACACACATAAAACCTTGCATTTCTGGCTTATTTCCTGTCATTCGGATTATTTTCTCACTCCTACTGAACCGGAAATCAAATGACATGTCTAAAATAGTTCAAACCAATGTCAGAATAATATGCAAGTACTGTTTAACCCTCATCTGGGTCTGCTCAAAGAAACACCAGATAGTGTGCGTGCAGGGATAAACGGGTATGGCTATGAGGGTAATTTGGGAGGAGACATCATTAAACCTAACCTGTAAGCGCAGGAATTTCTGCAACTGTTCAAACTGTGTGGCACAAAAGACGCATTAGTGATACAATGAAAAGGTCCACACTGTACACACTAAATATCAAACATAAATTTTTTGTGCTGTTAGTAATACCACTGGGAAAAGAATTCATCTGTGGCTTAAATTTAGTCCCTGTTATATATGTATTTGGTATGTTAGTTAAAAAGCCTTAACATACAGAAATTAATGCCCAAGACTGATTTGGCAGAAGTAAAAAGAAATAATACAATTAAATAGAAAAACAAAAAACTAATTCAAAAGATATGATGATATATTGTCTGCAACAGGGTAAATACATTTATTGAAATGCAAAGTACATATCTCTGATATTACTGATTAATCTATGTTGTTTTAGTAATTTCTTTAAAATAATGGTACATAAAAATGCACGTAAAATATGAGTTTTAGCAGAAACTATAAATGTCCGTGTCCAAATTACAACTAAATGTAAAAACAATTGTAAGCATAATTTAACAAAAACGTACTGGTCTCACAGTGTGTATGTTCAGAGGCATTACCTTGATCCCTTCTATGACAGGTGCAGTATCCCTTAGTGTCTCTGAATGTGCAGCCATGGCAGCTTTAGCCATCTCTGCATCTGCATAGCTGCGTTTATCCTTCTCTGCTTCAAGCTCCAACTCGGAAGGACATGGCTAAATAAAGTAAAGAAAGAAGTTTGCTATATAATCTGTAGGATAACAGACATGCTCCTCATGCGTTTAGCTGTCATTTTCTCAAACACCTCATGAGCTGGCATATAAACATGTCTCTAGGGCTAGGTATCATACCAAAACATTTACTGATACATCCCCCGGGTATGAACAACTGTCAAGAACCAAAACTTGGTACCAAAAGATTTGGTCTTATTTTTCTATCAGACATGTCCTGAAAAGTTCTAGATAGAGTTCTAATAGACCAAAATTGTACTCAGTGAAAACAGGTACTCTCATGTTGCTTTAAGTACTTAAGGTCATGTATTAATACATCTATCTTGAAAGACACATTTTTGTCAAAAGAACTTTTCATTAACAATAAAAATAAATGATCGGAGATGTTACCCTGGCAGCTTTCTCTGCAGCGTCTGCCAACCTCTCCATCTCCCTGTCCTTGTTGTCCTGGCGTATGGCCTCCTCCTCCTGTAGCATGGTCTCCACCTTGGTCTTATTGTCCACTTTGGAAAGCTCCATCTCTGCCACAATCAGCTGGGCCTCCTTTGTCTGGAGGGGAGAGATAGGATAGATCAGATTAGAGTACCAAACATCTACCTTTACAAAAATAACCACAAACTTAACCTTAAATGACAACAAATACGCAAGGAAGCTAAGCAGCATATCTACTTTAAATACTGTTTACAGTAACTTTTATTTCTTAATCTTTTATCAGCAACGTGTTATTTCATTATGGCAACAAGACTACAGTGAAGTCACACATCCCAGCTCTGGCCTCCAACATACCACCATCTCAGGCAGCGTCTGCAGTGTTGTCTTCAGCTGGTCGGCGGGGGAAAGGGTGTCGGGGAGGTACATGGCTCGAGACAGCAGCAGCAGGGAAGTGGGGATCTGCTGATTCAGATGCAGCTCCAGCCACTACAAGAGCCGAATATAACATGACAGAGGTTATGACAAACATCTGATCTAACGTCTCCCTAAACTTCCACAACCCTAGTGTTTGATTATACATAACCTGTGTCAATGAGAGAATAAAAAAAATGTGAATCAGAATAGATTTCAGATTTCAGGTGTTGCAGCTTCATATCTTGAAATTAACATAATGCGCTGCAGATATAGATTAGATTTTGCATGTGCACTATTTTTTCATTTGTTTAATAAAGCATATCCTCTGTTAATGACCATATTTTAAGATATTAAAAATGGCACTGAATATTAGCTCCAATGCAAAATAAGTAAACAAAGTCAAACTCTGTCATTTTAGAGTGAAGATTTTAGTGTAACACACCAAAGAAATGCACAAAAATGAGACAATAAGCATTTATCTTAAAGGTAGTTACGTTATAATATTCAAGTTCAGTAACTGAGGAAAAATGGACATATTAGAGGCAGAGAGTTAAAGAGTGTTCGCCGCTGTTACCTGGCTGAGTTGCTCTCTCAGTCGTTCTTCTGTTACTCCGAGAGATCTCATTCCTCTGACGCGACAGGCTGCCTGCACCTCGTTCACGTTCAGACTCGCCACCCCTTCCTCTGCTATCAGCTGGATAAACAGTTCACACAGAATTCCTAATGATCAACTACATTTTAAGTGTGTCCTAAAACATTTTTTATTGAAAATAAAATGGAGAGAGAAAGTAAAATCAAAGCAATGTCTAACCACAAAAGTGCTCTACATATTACCTCTTAGCAGTTATTTCACTATTTATGAAAGTGTAGCTGTCTGTTAAATTTTGACAATGATAAGGGGAAATGTGTCCTCCCTAGGACATCTACTATAATTTTACTACAGAGGTTATTACCTTGTCATCTGCACGGATGGCTCTCAGCTTCATGATAAGCTGAAAGCGGAGGAAGTTATTGGTCCCCATCGACTGGAGCTCCAGGAGACGGCAGAGAGCCACCAGCTGAGGTCGGGTCAGGTTGTCCAGAGTCAGCTCATCCTCGAACAGTTTGGAGAATTTCAAGATCTGCTCGTTACTGGGACGTTCCCCAGAGTTCCGTATCTACAAAAGATGACAAAGTAATGGCTTGTAAATCATTCTGGATGAAGGAGGTCTGACAATCTGTTTTAAAAACCTAAATCATTACAACACATTCTTAACGGACAGCCGTAGTTTCACTCTATTTGCGCCACATTTGGTGTCCCCTAACTCCAACCCTCACAGGAAATTGAAAACTTAACAAGCGTTTATGTTAACAGGACAGCGGCCTCTTGTGGCTTTACTTGTAACTGTTACTTGTAAAATAAACATCTTTAATTATTTTATAGTATTTACTGTATGCAATTTAATGTACAATACACCAACCAAAGACATTTAATTGTTTCCAAGACCAGCAGGCAGTTTGGAGCCCGTTTCCCCTCTTTTCATGATGCCTTGTCTCAGTAAACACTGACACCCACCTTCTGGAAGAAAGTGGAGAACTCCTCCGTCACATTGCCCTGGGAAACCTTGTTCCGCAGAGCGATTTCCTCGATGGTGTCCTGCAAGAACTTGGCCATCTCCAGTTTGACCCTCAGCTCAGTTTTCAACCTCTCCTCCTAAAAACAACAAGTTCCAAATTCAATGTTGTGTAAAAAAAACAATTCCCATCTTCATAATTTTATTGAGCCATCAATAAAATAAACCAGCAATGTGAAAAAAATCACCTTGGGCTGACAAAACGATTAACCAATTAATCAAGAAAATCATTGGGGCCATATTACAGAAAGTTCCTATCTTAAGTCTCAGATAGGATTTTTCCCAATTTGGTATAACAGAAGCAATCCTATCTTCTTACATCATCCTATCTTATCTCAGGTTAGGAAATCCTAAATACACAATCCAACATCGGTTATGAACTTTTATGGCCGTTACCTAGCAACGGATGCCACTTTTCTCAGATCGCGAGCTAAACGGCTTTTAATCGCTGTTTTTTGGTAGTTTTCTTTATGAAAAATACACTGAAACATTGAGAAGAAACAAGAAAAAAATCCAAATTCAAGTAACGCTTAACTCGGGAGATTAAAGGAAACAGTCACTGTCGGATATTTGGCATCCAGCGGAGCGTTGATGCTGTTAAAAAGAAAATCCACTGACAAGTGATACGAAGATAAAGGCAACTGTTGTGTCCAAAGAGCAGTGGAAAACCGGTGGTGGCTTCTCCTGTGCTCCCTCACGGACAGTGGTAGAAACCCGTACTCTTCTCGGGAAAGTTACTAATGAAGGCAAAAAATATATATAATAAAGGCTGCGGGCTAACGTCATCATGTTTTTCATTCATCTTATATAATGAGGCATTATCTAGCGTTACAGCTTTCCTACTAACAAGTGTTTGTCATCAAACACATCGGTAGATCAATTAATAGCCTAAGTTCCGGCCTGTTGACATTTTGTTGATTTTGTAAAAGCAATAAAAGAGCGGCCATGTGGATTAAACGAGTAAACACTACCTGGTGTAAAAGCAAAAGTTAGGACAGCTTAACACTTATCCTATCTTAAGTTAAGAAAGGAACATTGACTCAGGAACAGTTAATCTGTAATGGCCTTATTCCTAAATCAGTTCCTAACCCTTATTATCATGGTTACCAAGCAATTAATTTAGCCGCAGCCTTAGTTGAGCTACTGTGTCTCAACCCACACTGGCATACAGTGTGGACATAAAACTGGACGATAATTTGAAACTTCAACAGCTAGCAAAATAATTCCACAAATTCATCTTATGCATCTTGTCTGTATCATGCAGCTTCAGTCTGAACAAAATGCCCAGCTTTCATTACCTTCTTCGACTGTGTCTCAAAAGTGGACGGCAGCATGTTGGGGAAGAGTTTCAGAGCTACGGGAAGCAGGAACTCCATGAACGGGACAATGATGAACACCAGGAAGGGAAGAAGTCTGAAGACGTCTGCACATGTCCTCAGGAACTAAGAAGAGGATTTGGAAAAAAAAACTTGAGTTAGAATTGACTCCTTTTAAAATTATTTCAAAAAATAAGAAAGAAATGTGTCTTAAAGAACTGTGGAGATTATTTTAAATGCCGACAAGTAGCATTTCCATTGTGCTGAAGTTTGTGTATGTACCCAGCAGAGAGCAGCAGCGAGCAGAAGAGCCAACAGGCATTCATGGGAAATGTTTACCCCATCTTCCTTTGTCCCTTGGTACAATCACCCTGCTCAATCCCTCTAATAACAGTTTCAACAATCAGCACTTTTAACCCTGCGCCCATACATCCCCAGAGCAGCAGAAACCTCCTAATTCATCTGTGCCTTATTTGCATGGAGCTAAAGACCACAGTGAACATTCTGCCTCACATAATATGTCCACTTGAGCCAACAGGAAGCACATTTGCTCAGCTCAGACCTGAACAATCCTCAGAATATAGAAGTACCAGGCCAACAGTAGTCTACTTCATTGTACAGCTGTCTAACTGTGTCTTACTGACCAACCGGGGACATAATCCTGACCAGCCATCTACAGAAATGGCCCTAAGGGGAGAAGGCCAAAACACGAGTCCTTCTGTCTCCGCCCTTTCCACCTGCATGTCAGTGAAAAAGTAGGATGAAGGATTTAGGCCAGTCTGAGTGAAAAGGCCTTTGTCCACAGGCCCATTGACATGTATATCATCTCCCAGAGTTCCACATCAAAAGGAGGGAGGAGGGGGTGACAGATTAAAATGGAAGAAGCCTTAAACGAAGGCCTGAGTATTGTAAGTGAATATGAAAGGAGGAGATTAAGGAGGCAAAACCAGTCCAGGTTAGATGAATGGAGTGTAGATGGGCTCGGGACATGCGCTCTGAGGGAGTCGGCTGCATTTGAAAAGGTGCAGATGGGTTGGTGATGTGGGTTTAATGAAGGAGAGGGGGAGGGGGACGGGGGACGGGGGAGGCTGTGATCACCATCAGCACTGACCAGCAGCTACTAGCTCTGCAGCAAGGCTTTACTTCCTCTGTTAGAATAATCACAAAGTAGTTGTTGAATGCATCTTTCCCCTTAAATTTGTCTGTAAGTATAGCACCTCTACATTCCTCTAAGTTCCGGCACTGCACTTGAAAATTTAATTACAAGTGAACAGGTATTTCATTATCATCCTGTATTTTCAATGTTGCAGAAGATGTAAAGATAATACCCAAACTCAACAGGTAGAAAGTCTTTGCCACTGCAGGATGTGGTCTGTTTCTCTAGTCATACATCAGCACTTTAAGGCTCTAGTTTAATTTAATCAAATAAACATATATAAGTGGAGCTAGCTTAGCTAAATTGCCCGTGCCAATGTCAGAAATAGCATTGAAGACATTGAGTTAAAGTGTGATGATTAAGGTAGTCTAATAGGATTGGTAGGGTTGATTATATCAGCCAATCTGGCAGATTAAAACATTAACTTTTAAATTATTATTTTTGTTTTAATGCAACGTATCTAGTTAAAAAGCAAAAGCAGCAGCAGCAGTGAATTTTGAATTTGGCAAAGTAACTCAGCCAAAGCACATGGAAAGATTCCCAGAAAACCGCGACAGCAACTCAGTAATTCACTAAGAGGAGAATTCTCAACTTGCCAATCATGTCCACTAAGTCTGTACCATCCTGTACTATTGAGGAACATGGTAACAGGAAGTGTGACCTTGGCTGACCTGCTCACCTTCCCTGAAATGACACCTGGCAGCGGGCCTCTGAACGTCAGACTGCAGGCCGAACAGAACAAGGGGCAGATAATGTCAAAGAGTCTGCCATTTAAACACTTTTTATTACTTCATTTGAGGTCAAACAGTGAATTTTAACCATTGTTTATTCTACATCAGGTTTGAATGAGTGAAACCTTGTTATCAACTTATGTTATCCATGTATGAGTAAATCATGATTCCATCACCAGTTAAAATCAAATGTTTTTGTAGTTATTACATCATATAGCAGTTATTTCATCATCAGTTGCTGCAAACCTTTTAAAAAAAGTAAAGTTATGATGTAAGGGATTCTGTTAATGTACACAATGACAATAAACTGTAAAGTTAAAGTGTAAACGCTAGGCGAAGCTACCGTTAAATGAGACATTTCTTTACTCAAAGAGGCAACACAAACGCTTCTTCTAAAAGAGCTTTAATCAAGCAACACAAGTCGCTCCTGGCGAGTAACTCAGCATGCAGCAGTCTTCTATAATTGATCCCATTAGGTTTGAGAAGCTGTGGATTAAACATTATAGAACAACATGTCTGGGCTGTCAGACTTAAACCATGCTTACTCAACTCTGATCTCTGAACTCCTGCTCTGGGCTCTACGCTAACCTTTTTCCCCAATGAGCACATGTGCTCCTAAATGAAAAAAATTTAGGGGCACACAAAGAGCACAGTGAAAAATATTATTTATTATACACATATTTATACTACGCGTTTGCTCCTTCTGTTTTTGTCAACTGTGAAACCATTAGAGGACTATGGAAGTGAAGACCCTTGGATAGGTACACTCAGCATTAGATTAAAAAATTTTGTCGGAGCTTTTTAAAATATTGAAAGACATTTTTTGAAAATCTGCTTTCACTCATAACAACTTCACTGTTTACCAGCAGCACCCACACCTAATGTAAATAAGATTACTGAACAGCATTATAGTAACTTCAGTAAAACAGAACCAGGGGAATGTGTTGCTCTCAGGAGGAGGCTAGAATGAGCACACACTGGCAGTGGAAATCTGCATCTTTCTACTGCAGAGGCTCTTTCCACTACATGGAGGAGAAACTAGTTTTAATCAGTATATTAGTGTAATTTAACATTAGATCAAATTCTATTTTAATGTAATAGTTTACTGTTGGTATGTTAATATATAAATTTTGCTATATGTAGGCTAATGTCATTTTATGTGAGAGTATACTATACAGCCCACTACTAATATAATACTAACTCCAACTGGTCACAGCAGTTTCATGTTTGTGAATTGTTTTCAATTACATTGGCCTACTTAATTTGTTAATGATACCATCTCATTAATGATCAGAACCATTCAGGAGGAGTTCAACATTTGAAAGTTCACTGTAGCACGTCAAACCATTTTTATGTCCTGCCCCATCCAGGCTGTGTTTGGCCAGTTGATGAAAAGTGAAATTGACAAGCACATCCACTTTATGAAAAGTTGAACATGTTTCAACAAAAAAACCTGTTATAGCTAAATAGCCAGCTAGCTATCGGTCTCTCCGCTCCAGCTGCTGACATCTATGTCTTTGTTTTTGTAACAAAGACACCGAGTTTTGCACTGAGCGGCCCGCCCACCGGGATCTCCCCCGGTGCTCCTGTGACTAGCTTTTTTTGTTGCCGGAGTTTTACCACTCTCAAAGGACTGACACAAGCTTTGCGATGCGTCCTGCCAGCTACTCGGTGCAGGGTGGTTTGAACGATTAGCGGCGCAGCGGCCGGGTTGGGGGTTACGTTAGGTTGTAGTTACTCGCAAATCATTTTTCTGGTTCGCACATGTCGATTTTTAGGGGCATATGCGAGCAAAATGGTCGCACCGTAGAGCCCTGCTGCTGGTTATCTGCACTGCAAACTCTGAGCTTTCTCTCACTGGTAACTGGGGTGGTGATGGCACGGTGGATAAGACAAAAGCCTTTGGTGTGGGAGACCTGGGTTAAACCCTAGTTGCTCCAGAGGTGTGCGACCTCTGATGGATTGAAGGTTTACCTAGGAGTTTTTTGTTCAAATCATTTTTTTGTAATTGAGCAGACCTTTAAACAGACCTGTAGCAGCAATTTATGTTTGCTTGCCCCCATTAGTTTCTGTTGCTACACAGCACATCATGCTATTTAAACTGTGACATATCTGCCACTTGTAATTCTGTTTATATATACAAACATATCAATTTATTTCAGACAGAGGTAGACAAAAGGCAGGCTTCTCATTTCATTTCGATCTGATATGACAACTGTCTGGCAGGTCTTAGCAGCTATAGCTAGCTATTAGCTAATGTTAGTTACACAAAATGCTTGAAAGGGCAATGTTTGGCCGTCTTTTTAATCTTTCCAGTTCCCTCGTTTGAAATCAATAACCTCCTAAAAGGATCTCACATGCACTCGATGGCAACATATATGATACCACGCTAAAAGGCAGAGGCTAAAGCTGCATGTCCCAGGAGAAAAGTCAATATCCATGCACAACAAAGCTCAACAGGCTTGGGTGCCTAGTTAGGATTAACTAAGCAAGTTAAGCTATGATTAGACAATCATTGTTCGGGGGAAGGATTTAGCAAGTGGTTAACATCGCTGCATTATCTCTAGCAAAGTGAAAAGGAAGACGTAGCTTGATCAATGCTCCCAGTGGAGAAACTTTTGTGCTGCTCTGATTTTAGCATTTCTAAATATGAGCCAAATAAACTCACATTTATTACATTTATTGTCTGAGCACTTAAAGTATGGACGTTCGTCAGGCCCTGAAGAAAACAACAGCAAGGTCCATATCTCCAACAGACCTGCTCACAAAACAATTGTAGACCACTGTTGTTGTAATGGCTGTGTGAATGTGAGGCCTGGCAGTGGTTGCACCAGAGTGCATTACAAGCAAAGCATGCCCCAAGGTACATTTAATTAAAAAATCATCTAAACAGATTTGTTCTCCTATTAATAAATCTACAGTTTCTTCCCTGCCGACCTCACCTGTCTCCTCTCACGGCGGGACAGGGGGTGTCCGTTCAGCACCTGCCACAGCATTCGACCAGCAATGGTGGTATCAATCCACAGCAGCCTGAAGCCGTGGTAGTAGTGCTTGACTTCATCTACAACCCACTGTCGGACCGTCCTTCTCACAGGTTTTGCATCCAGCGTCGGGCTATACACCGGCCCTCCTTCCTCCAGCTTCTTCTTTTTGTCCTTTAACGAACGCAGTGACTTTTCCACCTTGGAGTCGTCCCATCTCCTCCTCGAGGTGTGTATCCACCTAACACCAGGGATGTCCTGTGGTCGTGCCATCATCCACTGGGCCCCCGTTGTGATTGCAGGGTACGGTGAAGGGGAGGCCCCCAACACAAACGCACAGTAGAGACGCTGAGAGTCTGGGCTCTGGCCCACACAACCTTCTGACACAGGCAGGGTAGGAGAGAGTGAAGAAAGCTGGGCCAAACCACCGAGTCGGAGCCCATCAAGTCTAAGGAGACAACAGGGTGAAGAGTACAAAGTTCAGACTTTAAAGGAAAAAACAGACGCCTAGTCTTAGAAAAAAGTGTAAAATAAACATGTACTGGTACATTTTCCCAAAAAGCAATGGGATTTAAAATCACTGGTGGGATTTAAACTTATGGCAAATACTTGGGTACTAAAAGGATGTATATGGTTTTTAAATTGCCCCCTCAAAAGGTACAGACTTTTACTAGAATGAAAAACAAATAAAAATAAATAGACCTTTCAGAAAATGTGGGTGTCTTAATTAGGGTTGGTTTCAAATACAAAAACAACATTCAAGGAAGCACAAAGTTTTAAAAAGACATAATCTTTTAAATTGACGTTAGTGTTTGTAAATGTAAAGGAATAGTAGGTTTTGCACACAACATAGGCAAAGCACAAAGGAAATCCCAGTTAAAATGAATAAGAGACCAGGAAAGGAAATTAGAAAAATAATCTAGAGATTTCAGATAATACGTGGGGCACAGAGCTCCCAACTCCTTAATCGGGCTCTCGAACATAAGAGCAGCATCAAAGAAACCACCAAGCTTTAAAGACCCATACAAATGAATTTAAGTCTTAACATTTTATATTAAACGTTAAGTTATTTTCAGATGTTTTCAGGAAATGCAGACACCGTGGACATTTAATTGGCTTACTTTTGACTGGAGAGTCTGAGTGCTGTGCAGTTGAAACAGGTACCATCTTGTACTTTCCCTGAAAGAAAGGGGGGGGGGAGGGGACATGAGCAGCTGGGTTCTGATAAAAAGCCATTAGACAGAGACACAAACACACACAGAGCATGCTAGCATTTCATGTACTGCTGCTGATGAGCAAATAAGCAAATATTCAGCAGCTATCTGCAGAATCTGACTGGTCTACTACATTAATAAAACTTCAGTTCAAAGACGCACGTTTATCTGGTTATGCAATAACAGGATATAAAGTGAAGCCACTCCTGAAGTCTTTCACAGGGGCCTACCGAAGACTATCACAAAAACCTTCTCTTGTGGTCACATTGGCCATTTTTTATTTTTCTATAACCTTCCACATTTGCTCCTTAATTTTATTATTTATATTTAGTAGTGTATTGCTGTGTGCTCAATACTCCATACTTAAACTTGATATTTTGAGTGAATAAGTACATTCACACTGACAATTATGGAAAAATGCAGTGAGAGTACCCAGATGGTGTACTCAAAAGGCTGAGTGTGGAACATTAGACACTTCTCACACACAACAGTCGCCATCTTGGTACGTACGTAGCAGAAGGGGCGTAGTTGTGGTTGCACCAGTGAACGCCACACTGTCCAAATGTAAGTTATACATACACTGTACCACTATACTGTTGTCGGATAGAAGCCATCAGTGTGGTTATTGGTTCAATTTTGTGGTAATGATCTGTCCAGTTCCATTTCACCATTAATTACAAAAAGGAGAAGCTATCATTATTTCCGTGTTCAATTTGAGACACCAACTGTTGAAATTCAAGCACTATGCAATTAAGTAAACCGTGTACTACATGGAGCTGTGCTAACGGAAGTATTCAAATTGAGACACAGCATATTTCTGTAAAGATCTCTGCCAACAAATGAAGTGTATTATTCTTCTGTTAATATCTTTTCACTGAAAAGATTAATCTTTCTTGGAGGCCAGGATATTCACACCCTCAGCGAGAGCCACAGTGGGGCCCCTGTCAGTGTGACCAGAGTGTGACGTACAGGCAGAGGGTGGACTGGTGAGACACTTCCCACCAATCATCTTAGAGCACACGGCCTAGCTACGCCCTTCCTCTAGCTCTCACATGGCTGGCTGGAGTGAATCCAGCGAGGCCTGGTTGAACATGACAGGCTGTGGCTGGCAGCCAGGAGGACACAGAGTTTACTAGAACAGCTTCACCTTTGTGGCTGAACGGCTGGTTACAGTTGCACAGAAAGAAAATGCTGGAAATACTACAGTAGATGTACCTGACACTGTACCATTCGCCTGGGCTGTGTTTCCTCTGTGGTTTTAACCCCTGGGGGTTTTACAGTTTTGGTTTCACATTCGCCGCTTTCAGTCCAAGATACGTCACATTTGGTAGATCATTTTGTAATTTAGTTGCATAGCTATAATTACACTTTGCTAATAAGTATTTAGTGCATTTGTTCACTCATTAATGATTATTTGTCAACACGTTTGTCTTCAAATAACACAATGGTGTATAAAGTATTTCTATATAAGAAATCTTAATGAAGATTCAAGATAATCACTTTCTCTTTATCAGTATGCAAATGTGTGGCACTATAAAGATACCCGAAAAATTATACAGCAAGCTGTGGTCCTTGTGTGACGTTTCTATAATGTGTTGTATTACATACAAACCCGCCCAAAAATACTTCTGAACACAGAAAAAGCAGAAATTCTCTGGAAGAAGACATAGGAGGGCTCCCAGACATGCAATACATGTTGTATGTACAGAGTACAGAAATAAGACTTATTTTAAAAAGCTAGTTTAGCTTTTTAAAATACATTTTATTTAATGTTCTATTTCCCTGGCACTGTAGTAATGTTTTGCTGTGTAGCCACAAAACTGCAGAATACAGGAGTTCACAAATCTCTCACAAAACCTAAAACTCAAGAGGACAACAGTAACCACAGTAATATAAAACCAAGTATGTTTACTAACCATCAGTTAGAATGAACTTGTCAGAATACTGTGGACATTAGTCATCATATCTGGTTTGGTGACCCACAAATGTCGTCATTATAACACGACAAGGAGTTAATTTATATGTTTTAATGAATTTGGGAAATGTTCCACAGAAGGATACTTCATTAATGATCAGTATTATTTAATTAAAGCAAGAAATTGTAACTTGTAATTTATGAAATATGTCTACTGAACTCCTCCAATATAGTTAAATTTCTCACAACTTGGCTATTGATGACTACATTACAGAGCTTATACAGAAACATCTGAATCTCTTTTCAATTTCATTTAATTTCAGAACACTTCATTTATCCCCAAGGGCAATTGCAAGACCTGTAGATTAGTATAAGTTAAGTTAAAAAAAGATCTTTCATAATAACCATCACCTTACAAATAAATAAATAGTCAGACGTATATCAACATTGTCACCAATGTGACAACTGTTGACTTCCTGAGGATTATTGTTGCAATTGTAATGTAATATTTACTCTTAATTTGTTTTATTGGTGTTGGTTGTTCACTATGGTTCAAGTCCCCTTTGGATCTGGTCTTGACTCAAGTTAAACTAGGTCTGGCCTTGAAAGGTCGTGAACAGGTCATGCCCTACCAGCTAACTCATGTGTGACTGCAGCGTGCAGCTGTCTGACTGTGCTAAAACAACAGTCTAATAAAAGTTCCTCATTCACTGTGTGAGCAGCATATCACCAAATAGGCCTGGAGCCAGTTCTTTGGAGTGTTCCTGATATGAGGTTGAATTAAGACACAGCAGTTGTTCCTTTTGAGCTCAGTTATTTTAGTACAGATACTGCTGTCTTGCACAAAGTTATTACCTGAACATCTAACAATATATTGGACCTGGTATAAAATATATACGTTGTTTTATCAGAAGTGTGAGCTACCATGTATCAATCGGCATGAAAAGGACGCAGAAAAATAGCAGGACTGTTGGTGGGGCGATATAATTGGTTTATCTATTTCTTCATTTATTCATCTCCCATCAGAGATGTTTATTTGCATTAGATCCAGAGCATCACCAGAACAGTACAATCTTGTGCTCTAAATACAGGGCTATTTCAAATATGTTTACTTCAATTCATCAATATTCTTTATATTTGTTGGCCACTTGAAAAAAAAAAAAAAAAACATAGCTTGAAAACAAAAGTGACATGACCTCAAAACAAGCGTGTTTATGGGGCAGAATGTTGTTAAGCTTATGCCCAGACTGCGGTTTCGTTTTGATATGACTGGCTTTTTGAGTATGTGGCTTCTCAAATGTCAAACATCTCCCTTCACAGTATCCAATAAACTATGACGTTTTGGGGTCATTTCCCCTTGGACAACACTCTCTTTCATACTGGCATTTGCATTTTCAGGCAGTGTGTGAAGTGAGTCTAAAAGACCTCGGTCTCAGCTGGATAAACCACATAAAATGAGTAAACGCTCTCAATAAATAAACACATTGCTCCATGCGTTTTTGCAGATGCCACATCCCAAACCATTAATAGTGCACTTACACCAAAGCACGTGTACCATCACAACTGTTACTTTATGGTTGCTCCCGTAGTTTATTGATGCTGTGTTAGATAATGCTATAATCTTTAGTATGACCTTACAACCTTTGATGACAGCTACAAATCAAATTGCAAAGACAGCATACTGGTCAATGTTCAGCAGTCACAGCAGGCCCTGGAGCCCATCAGGCAGCTCTTGGTCACTATTACTTTGAACCTGAAGATTTCCTATGTATTAGAAGCAGCCCTAGTTTGGAAAAGCACAAAATCCATCACCATTCATTTGGTTCAATACTTCACAACCTTGTCTAAACATAAACATTGAGACTAAATACCACCATATTTTCTTCTAAAATCATGATTAGATATCCTGTGGATGCTGAATAAACAGAAGAGAACATGTCTGCCATAACAACAGCAGCCTCTCAGACTGCAGTGGAAGGTGGGGGTGCTCGCCAGCCAGAACCAGCTTGTCCCCAGAAAACCTGAATCCTTATTCATAATGTTCCTCCTTCTTTTTAATGATCATGAGAAAGGTGCGGTGCCTCCGAGCTTCCCAGTCACGGAGGTGATAAACCTAAAACCGTAACGTTACATGCAATACAGCCATGATGCAAAGTAGTAACTGCTTTGTAGCTTAAAATAATGACTGATACACGGTTTTAAGTGCGATGCCCAGTTCGTCTGCCCTGTCACCTTGAGTCATCCACCATCTTCCTTTAAAACCACAACAGGGCCAGACCAGGACCAGGACCAGGACCACCTGCTTCCGTAAAAGACAGGACTCCTCACCATGTCAGCTTTATTAACATACGTCTCCATGGACACAGGAACAACAACGTTAAACCAGACAATAACAAACGAACAAAGAAAACCTTACCTTTCCTGAATTCGTTCTTTAACGACCTGGACGTTTTCATTAAAGGTGCCCGGGACCTCGTAAACAGGATTAACGCCATGCGTAAATTAGGCTTTCTGTCGCTAAATTACCTTTTAACGGTTACGGTTAAGCTACAAACTAGCTAGCCGGTTAGCTAGCCACTGTTTGTTCGAGATGTCAAAAAGAATGGACCGCTAACGTGTGGTACATAGAAATACCAAACTCCTTGTAAGATTTTTAACAAGCTACGACGCGTGTATAACTGTACATCGGAAAATTTAGCTCCATGTTATGCCCTTCCTTGCTACGCGGATGACAACTAGCCGGGCCAAGCTGCCAAGTGACGTCAAACCGGTTTTCGTTAAGCAGCTTTTGATGTGCGGGGTGGAGCGACTTCCGGTATATTTATAAAATAAAAGCCCGTGATTCTGAGTTGTAAGATTAGATAAAAGATCAAAGATGATATGCATAGGTGTCTTTTACACTGGGGACTTTTGAGCCCTTACGTCCCCACCATTTTTCAACATCAAGTGAGCCCTTGATGATATGCCTTCCCTGTAGGGGAATTTTGTGTTGGCACAGCAGCACAGACGAATGTAAAGAACAAGATACAAAAAAAGTAAGGCAAGTTTATTTGTACAGCACATTTCAACAACAAGGCAATTCAAAGTACTTTATTTAAAACATAAAAGCAACATAGGAAAACATTTCAGAAAATAAAAACAGGACAGTGCAGAGTAAGTTATTAATCTACAGCCTTAAATTTCATTAAAGACAGCGTCCGTCTTGATTTAAAAGAACACAGTAGAAGACGGCTTCAGCAGATCTGCAGTTTTCTGGGAGTTTATGGAGCATATATTGGGGTGGCGATGCAGCAATGGAGAAGACGCATGCCTTTGGTGTGAGAGACCAGGATTCAATTCCCCACTGTGACCCATCTACCATTGTGTCCCTGAGCAAGACACTTAACCCCTAGTTGCTCCAGAGGCGTACGACCTCTGACATGTATAGCAATTGTAAGTCACTTTAGATAAAAGCGTCGGCTAAATGAATAAATGTAATGTGAACACTGATTCTCCGTGTTTAGTTTTGACTCTGGGGACAGAAAGCAGACCTGTATACCATGCAGACGCCCTGAGAATCAGAAGATCAGAAATATATTTTGGCCCTTAACCATTCAGTGTTTTACAAACCAACAGCAGTATTTTGAAATCAACTCTTTGACAGACAAGATGCCAGTGTAAAGACCTCAGAACTGAAGTTATGTGATCGACTTTTTTGGTCTTCATGAGCAAAACAATAGCTGCGTTCTGTATCAGCTGCAGCTGTCTGATCGATTTTTTAGGGAGACCTGTAAAGACACCGTTACAGTAGTCGAGTCGACTGAAGATAAATGCATGGACGAGTTTTTCCAGGTCCTGGCGAGACATAAATCCTTTAATCCTTGATACATAAGAAGATTAAGTTAGCGTTCTTACATAGATGTATAAATAATATACACACTGTATACAACAAAAATATAATGATCATTCTATGTAGGAGTAAAAATATATACAAACTGTATAATCACTACACATAATAATTATAAGATAACAATAGAACAATAATAATATAACAATAAAGTACAAACTGATACATTCAGAATAGAGACAAAAATAGAGTCTGTCAGTCGGGTGCTGTGGCTTTGTGGAGTCTGATGGCAGATGGCATAAATGAGCCACCAAAGCGTTTTGAGGCTCGGGGCTGGTTGAGTCTGATGGAGCTCCTGAGCTGCCTCAGCTCTGCATGGAGAGGATGAGAGGGGTTATGATGGTTTTCAGCTTCCCTTTAATCTTCCTTTCACTCTTGTAGGCGATAGGGCGTTGAGATAAAGGAACATGGTCTTTTCATCTTCAAAAGGTTAAAGTCATTTCATTGCAATTGCAAAACTGATTAGTGTGAAAGAGACATACAGTATGGAATTGTGTTGAGACCTAATGCAAGTTTTATTTTTATAGTAGACCACACATAGAAAAACGTCTGCATACTAACACCTCCTCATAAGATGTATGAATATATCAATTTCACTATAACCTGTTATATTGTGACAAAATAAATCTACCTACCTACCTATCAGGCATGTACATGTCTATTCATCTCAGTCATCATCAATTTGAAATTGAGTGGATCCACATACTTATCCCCGAAAAGAAAAGCTGTCGTTCCAATGGTGATTTAAGAAAGGGCCCCTTGATTGATCTTTATTTTTTAACTTAATGTTCCTTCACATAATTAAATATCTAAATCACATACAGTATGTAAAAGTATTTTGTGATCAACTTCAGTGTGCTTAGACTGCTTTTGTTCTATATTTAATATTTTGTCAAGCACCTAGTTCGCTTGCATTGTCTATGCATATAAATCTATGAAGATTTTGTAAAATATATTATTCCCATCTAGATTGCATATCCAAAAGATGACCACAAATACTCAATTTAATTCACTTTCCATCCAGGTATAGTGTATTGTTGCAGCAAACATTAAGTGGATTAAAATGGCCATGGTAATGTTTAAATAGATTTAACACTAACTAAATGAATAATAGTACAGTGTGAGCAAGGCAAATTAAATCGATCACTGTGAACACAAAAAGATGAGGTTTTAGTCTTTATCCTAATGTACTTATTGCATTCTCTCTCACTTGTCTTCAATAGTGGCCCAAACGTTAGAGAAGCAGGCCCGTGTGATCCCCAAACCAGCAGGATACTGTGGGTGATGAAATTGAAAGAGCAGCATTTGCTCATTACCACAGCTGAGGAAGGCCCCAAAGCCCAGCTATGGGGAGGGGAGCTGCACAGTGGCCAACAAATAGGACTGTGGTTACACTACCGGCAGCTTTCAGCAGTGACTGTTACTGTGTGAGTGTGAGCAAGAAAGCGTTGCTGGAAAAGGAACTTCCTATTTAACAATTACATGACAATTACTGCACTTTTTTGGCTTGTGACTAGTTTGAAAACAATTATTTAGTTTTTTAATTTACTGCAGCCCGGCGCTGTCTTTAAGTATGTCTCAGCTTACCAACCTGAACATAATCTTGCGTAACCCCAAATAGTTGTATTCTGCTCATACAGACACACATAAAAATGTACCTGTGAGGAGACCTGTGATGTACTGTGTGTTCAAGAGACAATTTTACCTAAGCAGGATTTGGAAAGACTGAATTCCCTGCATAAAGATTTCTATGGGGTGGGTGAATCTACCACTGACTTGAGCACTGAAATAGTTCACGGTAGAATACGTGGTGGCGTTGCAGTGCTATGGCACAAAAAGTATGACCAGCTGGTTAATGTGGTCAGACTGGACGTTGACTGGGCTATAGGAATTGAGTTAATTTGTGGTGGAAAAAAAATCATCATTCTGAGTATCTATGCACCTTATGAGAGTTCCCAGAATGAAGATGAATATCTTAACAGGTCGGCATGTGTCATGTCTTTTATTCAGGATAGTGATTCCACCTACTTTTTTATTGTGGGTGACATGAATGCTGATGTTTCTGATGGTAGTTCTTCATTTGCCAATCATTTAATGCAGTTTTGTTCTGATAATGGTTTGATTCTATCCAGTAAAGTACTTTTGCCTGATAATACCTACATCAGTGAGGCGTGGCATACAACTTCATGGTTAGATCACTGCATCTGTACAGCTGATGTACATGACTCCTTGGAGACTATAAGGATTAATTATGAATTTGCTACGACTGATCATGCGCTGTTTTCCTTATCTGTAAATCTGGGCAATTTACCTACCCTTTTGCCTGTGAACAACGACATGCAGGTGGGTAAAATAGAGTCTGACACTTTGTTGAGTAACATCGACTTACCGAAAGACGCGTCTGCATGCTGTGATATTAACTGTAAGAACCCGCAACATGGTACTGAGTTGTGTTCCTTCTATGACAGTATTGTGGAGTCCCTTCTTGCCTCAAGCAGGCCTCTGTATAAGACCAAAATGTATAAAGCTAAACCAGGATGGAATGAACATGTTGAAGAGCTTCATGCTGAGGCTAGAATGTCTTTCAAAGCTTGGGCTGAATCTGGCAGACAAAAACACGGTCCCCTATTTGAATATAAGAAACGGACAAATGCAAACTTTAAATATGCCCTACGTTTAATTAAGAGGAATGAAAATATAATGAGATCTGACTCACTTGCTAGGAAACTGAAAAGCAATAGTCCCAATGAATTCTGGAAAGAAATCAATAGAATCAATAACTGTAAAACATGTTTACCAACGAATGTTGATGGTGTTAGCAGTCCAGAGGAAATTACTCAGTTGTGGCAGAAACATTATTATCAACTGTGTTAAAAGTAACTCCTTTGCAGTGGGCAATATTGACAATGAGGAAGATGTGGCTGTATCCCCACAAGACGTTTATGATGCAATTATGTTGCTAAAAGATAATAAGGCATGTGGTATAGATAAGATTTCTGCCGAAAATGTAAAATTTGCAAGTTGAAAAGTCTGTCCTCTGCTTGCCATTTGTTTTACTGGGTTTCTAGTTCATGGTATTTTACCTGATTCAATTTTATCTGTTATGTTAGTGCCAATTATTAAAGAGAAAGCTGGCAAAATAAACAGCATGGATAATTACCGGCTTATAGCTCTGGCAAGAAATTTTAGATTTGTATAACAGGCACAATTCCACCATTTTTATGTGTTTTAGTGATGCCTCTAAAGCCTTTGATTGCGTTAATCATGAAAAACTATTTTTAAAGTAACAAAATAGAGGAGTTCCCAAATCTTTAGTGAGAATTCTGGCTTTTTGGTATGCTCATCAATCAATGTATGTGAAATGGGGCAATTCTGTGTCAGCCCCATTCAGTGTATGCAATGGAGTTAGACAGGGAAGTATTTTGTCTCCCTTCCTTTTTAATGTCTACATGGATGATTTATCAAAGCTGTTAAACAGCTGTGGAACAGGTTGTACGGTTGGTAACACGATCATCAACCACTTGATGTACACAGACGATTTGGTGATTCTTTGTCCTTACAGTGCTGGTCTTCAACAGTTACTGAGGGTTGGTAATGCAAAGAAGAGTAATATTATGATTCTTAGGAGTAGAGAGGACAGGAAACTGACATTCGCTGACTTCTCTCTGTCTGGTATTGTCCTTAGAGTCTGTGATGAGGCTAAATATTTGGGACATTATCTAACTGACGACCTGTCTGATGATAGGGACATTTACAGACAGTGTCGTATGATGTATGCACAGGCTAATATGTTGATTCGCAAATTTAGTATGTGCTCAGTATCTGTTAAGACTACCCTTTTTAGAGCATATTGTACCCCTATGTAAACTGCCCATTTGTGGAGGTGCTACAGAAAGAGCAGTATGCAGAAGCTCAATGTAGCATATAACGATGGTTTGAGGCTTCTGCTTAAGGTGCCACGATGGAGCAGTGCAAGCCAAATGTTCGTCAGTGTTGGTGTGCCCACCTGCTCTGCTGTGCTGCGCAATCTCATGTACAGATGTATGTGTAGATTATCAGACTCTGCAAACAGTATCATTTCAGCACTTACCAATCCAGCACTAAATTCAGTTTTTTCAGTCTTTTTCAGAATGTGGAATCATTGGCGTTTTTAGCCTATATGTAAATAGGCCTAAGTAATATTGTGGACTATGTGTTTTTAATAATGTGGATTGTATGTTTTTTTCCTTTGTCTTATTGTATGTCTCTTGAACCGGGTGTGTGTCCTTAATAATAAAAGCTTGACCTTGTACACATAAATCACACAAGTGGAACAAAATCTAAGAGTAAACTGTCATCCATTGGCATAGTTTATCAAGGTTGGCAGCTTTTATTTTGATAGGCACTTTTCGTACCGGAGGTCTGTTGTTTTAAATCAGCAGTTTAGTTTTACGCCCCTTAGCTTCCTCTGTTGGAACTGCATGCCTGAATTTACGTGAGTAGGTTTTTCGGGGCCTGTGCTTTAAGCTGAATGATACACAAAGCAACTTTTTGAGCAATGTTGCTGGGCAATCTTACTGGTGTCAAGTCCGACTTTGTTTTGAAGGGATAGCGGTAATGGGAAGGGGATTACTGTAATAATCTTTGTTCATTACCATTGACAGCAACATTGCTCTAAAAGTTCCTCCGTGTATCATCAGCTTTAGGGAGAGCCTTCATCTTGCATTTATTATAAGGTTGTTGTTTTTTTCTATGACCACCTGTGTGTTACATTTTTAAAGGACAAGTGAGGAAAATGTGTCAGGTTTTCTGCTCGTAAGGGAACAATAGACTTGTATCTTTGGTGATTTTGTGTTATATTATGCATTGTTTTTACTGATAATGATGATTTCGATTAAACTGTAAGCTTTTACCTCCAATAAAGTTAGGTCTCTGGTTAATTAGGCTGCATCCAATCTTTCAGAGCATTGAAAGCCATCCCTAATGAATAACTTCCAGCACGATCACGGCCAATGTTACAAGTAGATATTACATTATCAAGGCTCCAGATTCAGATAGGTCACTTTTTATCTAATTTTGACTGATGAAGATCTAGTACAAGAAACGTTGGCAGCTTATAAATTTATTATTTCAAGTTAGACAGTGTGTGGGAGTTATTTTGCAACTTTTGTACCTTATTAACAGTAAATAAATAAATAATTAAACATGATAAATGAAGATATTTTTAACATGACTTGGTTTAGGGTGGATTATCGTTAGACTGTAATGGCTTCTTCGTGTTACTGTAAATAGCGGTTGTATCCCCATCCTAACTCCCCTTCGAATATCGACCTATCGACTTTTCATCTGGTATTAAGTGGATATATATATATATTTGACGTGCTGTTTTAATGTTTTTCATTTTTCATATTTCACACGTTTTCGACTGTAACGATGATGTGTTTTAACCATAGGGTTTTAACATTAACGGTAGAGGAAACCGCTTCTAAATGTACATTTTAAACGTCATACAGTGAGATGACATAGCAGTCACAGCCCATTTACATAATTATTGTAAGAAACAAATACACATAGGCTGGATATAATGACTGTACGCACAAACGATTAAAAACAATGTAATGATGATGAACAGACGGGAGACACCGGGGTCAGCTACTTCCTACGGTTGGTTTTTTTTCTTTTTCTTTTTTTTTTTGAAAGGACCGGTTGGAGCCTCTCTCTGCTCCCGACCAATCGGAAGTGAGTATTTTTCGCGCTGGTTGGCCGGAGAGTTTGAGTTTCCCGCAAGCTTTTGATTCGACTTGAATGAAATCCATCGCTTTACAGGATGAATACGGGCATTTTTTCCCTTTAACCACCCGAGAGGAGATTCAACAGGTAACTACAACGTTACGGTCTTTCATGTTATTGTCAATCCCGGGGATACGTTTTTTTATTTTTGCAGGGACACTTGTTCGGGCCGACCATCCATTTTAGCAAGATAGGACCCGCTAGCTTGCTAGCTAGCAAGCTAGCTAACGGTGCTAACGTTAAATGTGCAGTTAGACTGGGCTTCAGCGGGACGCTGGTTAGCTTTGGCTAGCGCCGTTAGCTTTTTTGAAACAAGCTGTCATGGCGCCTACACATTATCTATCAGTGAAAAGAGAGCAAAACAGTTAATACAAACTACGGCAATCGTCCAGTTGTGTGCCTGTTCCTTTAACTTATTCGCATATTTGCTTTAATCGGGTAGGTTAGCTAGCAGGTTAACTGCATTTAGCTTTTGGGTGGCGGCTTTGTCTATTTGCTGGAATGCGGCGTAATGGCTGACTATAGCACTGACAGAGATGCGGTTGCACGGTATGGGAAAATGCTCGTCCATGGCCGGGATCCATGAGATGACCACATCGTGGCTTCCGTTTCAGATTGTAGTCTGTGCCCGTTTCGTGCATGACATGATAGTGGAACTGCTGGACTCCGTTGGTATTTTGAGTAAGCCAGCATAACAATCTAAGTTAACGGATTAGTTTACTTTACTAATGCGTTTAGAGTAACGTTAACTGAACGGTTGTTAAAGACGCTTGTGTCAACGTTACGTTACTATAACGTTACCGTTAAATCGACAAGTCCAACCGTCTTTCCGGTACATTACAGCTAAGGTAACGTTACCTCATAACGTAAACCACAAAGTAACATGTTAGCTTTTAGCTGATGCATTTAATTCCATCAGATATTCGCACTCCATTAGCATTGCTACGACTTGTCAGCTGCTTCCATTTCCGCGGCTTTTCTAGCCGGTGATTCGGTGGTTACGCGGCACAGCTAGCCACCCACTCATTGGGTATTCGCTGCATGCGGTGTAGCCGAGGAGCCTGCAGCCTGCTTTCTCCATAACGTTACCGCTTTTCCACAGACTGCAGCTAGCCGCTAGCCAGTCTTTTTCCAGGATAAACTCAACTTAAATAGTCATGGTAAGAGGTTTTCCACCCTCCCAGTAGTTTTTGTTCGTATGCATGGATGTAATCGAGAATGGGGTTGACTTGACCTCGTTCACATTAGTTGTTATCAACGTAACGTTATAGTCTGGATTTCACTGATGCATCAGTATTATTTTACTATACAGAGGTGTTGTTACCTCCGACTTTTAGTTAGTAGAGTCGCTCAAATCTCTTATAAAAACATCCAAAACTATTGGCTTGAACATTCCGTGACAGGTGCAGCTTTCTCTGTCGCTTCCAAGCTCCCTGTTCATGCTCCGCTGGAGCAAGTGAGTGCCATTTTGTAAAATGTGTAACGTTATGCTCATAGGATTCATATCCCAGAATCCCACTTTACAATTTACCAGCATGAAGGGCACCAACAATTGACTGTGTGATATTGTTAACGTTTTCTGATTGAACCTGTGGAAAAAGAAGCCCTGTGTGTGTGTGTTCCCTGTCCTGTAGCTCTGTGAGCCTGGAGGGGCTTAGATGGGATGGACAGCAAAGGTAGCTCCTTGCCTTCGATGCCTGAACTAGCCAACCCGATCAGCATGAAGCAGCTGCCAGAATCACTCAGTGTACGGAAAGGTGGGGGGGACATGAGCAGTGACTCTGCTCTACTAATGGACAAAGCTACTGCCCAGCTGGCTGCCACACTACAAGACAGTGTCCTTCAGAAGATGGCTGGCCACACTCATAACAACCACAGCCACGAGAGACTCAAAGACCTCACCTCCCGTGTGTTGAATGGGGACCAAGATCCGCTGCCTAAGCTTTGCGTTTCGGAGCCACCTATGCTGAAAGGTGCTGAAGCCCCTGCTACAAATGGCACCCATCAGCACAATTGCACTCCTCATACTGAACCTGAACTGAAGGTGTCGATACCCCAGGTGTTCAAGCAGCCAATGTTTGAGCCGTGCTGTGCAAATGGGACCAGTTTGGCCACAACCACTGAAGATATGTCTGGACCAGAGATGAGACAGGATGTGAAAAAAAGAAGGGGGAGACCTCACAAACCTCAAACAGACCTCAGTTCCTCTGCCATCCCTGTGGAGCCACTTGACCACACCAATTTTGGAGATGAAACCAGAGCAGCTGATGAGGTTTGCTTTTATTCTTGCTTTTAAGAGCTTATAATTGACTTTGGTAAATATACAAACTACCAAATGTCTAGCTAATACTGGTTTAAAGACCAACATTAAACACTGACAGATGGCAAATAAATGTGACCAAACAGTACCAGTGCCCCTATGGGCAGTTGAATACACGGTGAATGTTTACTAGCAAATATGTAAAGTTTGTTCAGTCTGATGACAATCAGCTATTTGCTCACATACCTTTTTTGGAGAAAGCAATACTAAATGTGAAGTAAATATGATTTCTATGTAGGCTTAAAAATTTAGAAAATTGATACATAGCCAAAGCTTCTTACAATAGATTGTATAATTATGAGCCTGTATTATGAGGTGTAAAACAATGGTAGTGATGCATATGTGCCTGAGATGTGTGTGGGGGGGGGAAAGTAACTGATTTTAGGAAGGAAATGCTGTTGCAGCCTTGATTAGCTTCTATTTTTATCTATTGATTATTTTATTTTTATTTTTCTTCAGCCTGCTCTCATCTCAGAGGTGACGGTGGAGGCTACAGATGAGTCCCCTCTGCTGATCCGTTTTTCTGTTGGTGATTTGGTTTGGACAAAGGTGTCAGGATACCCCTGGTGGCCTTGCATGGTGACCACAGACCCAGAATTCAATAATCATTTCAAACAGAAAGGTGAGATACAATCACGATCACCTACATTAGTGGAACTTTGCTTTAAGTTATGTGTTGTAAAGTTAAAGAGGGAATAATAGTTATAACTATTGTTGTACATGTTAGTATATGGAACATTCCATGATTATTTATTCAATTAAACGTTTGTTGTTGTTTTTTATAGCAGCCAACAGCAGGTCTGGCCTCCTTTACCATGTGCAGTATTTTGGAGACGCCCCAGAAAGAGGCTACATCTTTGAGAAGAACTTGGTGTCCTTCACAGGGGAGGATCAATACCAGGAGCTGAGCCAGGGCAACAAACAGCCAGCCTCCCGTGTCATCCACAAAAGGGTAAATCGGCTTCTTCTGATTTTGCAACTTTTCCCCCAACATTTGCTCGTACGGTCAAACTTTCACAGCCTGTTTTCTCACCAACAAACAAGAAAGGAATAATGTTTACATCATATGATTTTTGCCATGTTTGCTAGAAAGGCTTCTCGTACACAACTGTCATATGCCGCTAATCAAATTTTATCTTTTTATACATATTGCCCACAGTGTGATAAGTATTTTTTTTTTAATGGCATACTCTTAGTAGCAACTACAGACTGTATATAAAGGTGGATGACGTGTCTCCACTTCCTCCAACTGTACAAAATGAAGCCAAAATATCTGGGATACAGGCGCTGCCATCTTGCGCTGGTTTGGAGCCAGTGTCTGCGTAGTACTGATCTGGATTGTAGCTTTGTATCGAGGTCGTTAGACCCGCCAACTCAGTTGCGAGCAGCAAATAATCTTGCTATTCTCTCCCTGTGTCACGCAGACGGCCCCCTCTGTGCCCCGTAAACTCCAGGCTCAGTGGAACATGGGCATCATTCAGGCCAAAGAGGCCTCCGTCATGTCACTGGATGAGCGCATGGTGAACTTCGCATTTCTGTATGATGATGATGGACCTCATCTGAACCCCCGCATCATGGAGAAGTTAAAGCCAGAACAGAGCAACAAGATGGACCAGGAAACGGAATCTAGGCTTAACCCAGATCTACCCTCTGTGCTGGTGGGCTCTGCCGATGACCCCACAGCTGACCCTCAGTCCCAAAACAGCACTTCAACAAGGAAAAAGACCCAAGCACCCAGAACAAAACACAGAATGGGAGTATGGCGAAAAGTGGGCAAAGGCTGTCTAAATGATTTCCTGTCGAAAAACAAGTTGAATGACCGAGTTTCTTCCAAAGAAATGCTTCATCCGCAGCCAACCTCACAGGTTAGGATAACTCACTAAAATTCATCGCCAGGAGACTGCTTGTCACATGCATAATTAATTATTTACATGCAGACTTTGCAAAGGTTTATGAGTTACACACTACAGGGTTTTTTTGGCTTTTCAGCCCAGTATAACACAGTTACAAACAAGTGTATATAGTTAATCTTGTCATTGATCGACCCAGAATTTTGCTGTTGTGAAGAATATGCTTTAGGTATGGGGTTTCAGCATAGCAGTCATTTTAACCCACTTAACTGCATATTTTAATGAGTTAACAATGAGTTTAATATCAACAACAATTTGTAAATTCTGTAATGAAACACAGAAGTGAAAATATTAAGAGCACTGTGAAATGGAAATAACCCTGATAAGCTAATGTTACGTTCTTTTTTTGCCAGCTTAAAGTTTCTACTCTCTTTGTTTAATACATTTGGTCGTTTTATTTGTAGGATCCCACCACTTCTGCACCAGATTTACAAGCTGAATCAGCCATACCTCAGAAGAAAAAGAGGAGACCCAAACAGGCTCAGTCTTCCACAAAGACCGTGAGAAGAAGGAAAAAATCTGCAACGGACAACACTGCTGATCCCGTCAGGAAAAGGAAATCAAAGCTGGGTTCTTCGACAGGCGATGTTTCGGAACATGTCTCACTTGAAGTTTCAGTTCCAGGTTGGTTGAAAGTTGAAACACGGGCAGCAGCTAAAGCCATCAGTCGAGGATTAGTTAAATGTGGCTGTAGCTGGTATGTGTTTACCAGAGCTGTGGAATCTCGTGCTTTTAAATTACCATATGTGGCTGGTAAAAGAGCAAAGTGGTGGGGTTATTGTGGAATTTATCACTTAATGTTACCATGATATTTAAGAGTTTTCCCTCCTGATTGTTGTGACACTGCTAAAACCAAGTAAGATGTTTATTCCTTATAGCACTAAAGCTTAGAAATGCAAAATGCTGATTGATGTAGTAATGTGTTGCTTTTTTATGTTGTCACATAATACCAAAATCCCATTTGCACAGATAATAATAATAATAACTCAGTAAATAATTAAACACCCTATGGCAAATAAAATAGTTTTTTCTATTAATGAAGCGTAGCAGAAGTTTGAAATTATACTTGATAGTAGGGCTGCACTATATATCGCTGGAGCATTGTTATCGCAGTTTGCTCTTGCGCAATAGCCATGTCGCAGAACAGTGTAATGACAAGCAAGTCAAACTAACCACCTCAACTTTTTTGCTGCTTGATAGAAAAGGAACACTTGGAAAGTTCTCATTTTCAATATCTAATCTACAAGAGAAGTTTGTATGATGTAACATCATTTACTCGGATTTAAGAGTTCTTGGATACACCGTTTGTAACTAGTGAGTGACGAGCAGGCACAGGAACCAGCAATCCCAATATTATTCTTGATCAGTTCTTTTAGGATGCTTAATTATTTTCAAATAGAACAACTGAAGTAATCTGGTGAAACTTCCTGTATTTTTTTCATATTGCAACACATATTGCTGAAAAGAAAAATATAGCAATGTTAGTTTTTTTTAAAAAATGTTGTGCAGCCCACTTCATAGAAGTACTGGAACCGTTATTTCCAGAAACTAACCTCATCTGTAGTTAATTAGGGGGGGGAAGTGTTGTTTTTACACACGTGTAGCTTTTGTTAATTTAAAAAGCCTTTTGTTGCTGTTGTCAAAACGATAAGGCAAAAGAAAAAGACTCATGAGCAGAGGACAGATTCCTCAAGATAGTCAGTTGTCAGTTTTTGTGTAATATTTCTAAACCACAGACGCAGAGAATTTTGAAACCAAAAATGTCATTATTTTTCCTTTTTTATGTTTTGTTAGGTAATTGACAGGGTTGGAGAAAGCTTTTGACTGAATCATCGAGCTACTCTGCCTGAAAATATCGTTAAGCATTTCCCGTTCTCGTCATTTACAGCGGTAAAAATGTAAAAAAAATTTTAAAAGAACATTTTCTTGTTGTTTTTAGTCAAGAGGGAGCGAAAGAAGACCGCTAAGAGGCCACTAACAGATGCTACGGCCGAGAAGGGTCAGCAGCCTAAAAAGAGACGTAAAACAAGCAAAGATGCTGAAAAACAGGTGAGGTTTTCATCTGATGCAGTGTCATGTCAGACCTGCACCTGTTTTTGCAAAATAAATTTGAGGATGATCTTGTGGAGAATTTAATTTATTCATCTTAAGTAAACGTCTTACTTAGAGCATTACAGTAAATACTTACAGTATTTAGGATGCAAGCACTTTGTAATAAAACAATGGTTTTCTTTATCACACCCACAAACTTTCACAGGCCTCGGTTTTAGAAGGAGCAGAGAAAAAGCAGAGGAGGAGGAAGAAAGCAGATGTCAAAGAAACCAAGAGACGAATGAATAAGTCAAAAGCTCTCCTCACCGGTAATCATCTTGATAGTCTTGTCTCCACAACATTTCTCTCCATTACTCTGTTTTGTTGTGGCTCTACAGAACTTGGTTGTCATTGCATGAACATGTTCATTTCTCAGATGACCAAGACGCGGAGAAACCCAAGCGTAGGAGGAAAAGGAAACCGGCGAACCAGGCCTCCACCTCCAAGGCAAAGAAGAGGCGAGCCTCCCCGTGTCCTGATCCCGAGGTGAGAGGGAATATGTCCTGATCAGTCTGAGATTTACTAGTAAATATAAAAAAGTAGTTGCATGCTCAAGAGCCACAAATCCGCCACTTAATATGTCCGTGTGGAAACTCAATTTCCACACAAAACAAGCCTAATATTTAACTTGAGTGCATTCGGTGCACATGTGCACCGTTCCGAAAGTCCTGTACCGAATCGCTCTGTTACGAACACATGTACCGTTACACCCTTACCAACAACTAATAGATTCATCAATTTAAAATCGACAATGAAAATAATCGTTAGTTGCAGCCCTACTGCCAGTGCAAGTAAGTTGGTATTAATGTAACTGAACAAGCTTATTATGAATGATGGAAGTTGTCTTCAATCACAATTCAGTCACTTTCTGACCCATTTTCTGCTTTATGAGCAGAACTGTTCTACGAACAAAGTTACATCTGCAGTTTTGTTTGTTTAATTTCCTTCATCACTCAGGTCTCCTGGAAATAAAACAGACTTTAGGTGTTAATTGTGTTGTAGATGGTGTGAATGTTTCTTATTGTCTGTTTTATTCAAAGTTGCCCACATGTTGTGTGCTGCAGGGCTCTGGAAGTGAAGAACGTCCTGACTCTCCGAGTGACAGCTTAGACGGAATAAAGAAGGGTGAACGCAAGAAAGAGTTTGTCTGCCAGGTAAGTCTGCCAAAGACTTTTAATGTCCTTATACTTTTTGCCATAGTAACATGATTGATTGGCATTTGTCTTAGTGAAATTACTTAAACAAATTCAGGGGGAAAAGAACAAAACCGCTCAAGCACATAATACACTAAACAAAGTCTGAAACTAATAGGTAATGTCCAACCCATACTATGATCATAAATGGGGAAAATAAAGTTCATCACATAAGGATATTTCTTGGGGGAAAAAATACTTCTTCTACTTGTTCCTTTTATCCTAGTTGATAAAAGCTCTACGATGGCTGATTTTTGGTCTTTTATTCAGATCAAATGTCTCAGTCGCTGCTTATGTTTTGATCTGTGTGGTGGTGGGGTTTTTTTTTCCTACAGATGTGTGAGCAGGCTGGTGAAGACTTGGTGCCCTGTGAAGGCCAGTGTTGTGGGATGTTTCATCTCCAGTGTCTGGGTTTGTCATTCAAACCTGACGAGAAGCTGCTTTGTCAGGAGTGCAGCACAGGTGAGAAGTTGTCACTTTGTCCAGGAAACAGCGATTGGTCAGTTACTTTGTTTTTAAAAAGCAACCTCTTTCTGACCTACATTCAGTTCTTGACTGTAACGTAACATAAGTCACTTATTGGATACTTTTTGTACCTCAAAATCTAATTAAGTAGGTCCTTTTATTTACCGCTAATACTTACTTTTGTTATGAATTATCTGTTTTTCTTTTTGACTAATCTGTGAATATTTTTAGTCATATTATAATCATAATATTTTAGTTTTATTTTGCTCTTACCATATGTCAAAACCATGTATTTATTTAGTTATTCACATCAATCAAACCAGCTTTTAGTTAAAATTTTAGAGGCTGTATCCAGCTAACTTTTTCTCTATGGTTTCTTTGAAGTTACTTGTGACTCATACTCTTTTTATTGTTGTGGATAGTAACATAGCAGCGGTTTGTGATGAGTTAACCCCTGATCTCTACCCTTGATACTATCTGTGCATATGGAACCGTTAAGTAGTTGAATCAGTAATCTTTTTGGGATACAGTAATGTTGGTATCATGTTTGTAATCGTTGCTGGTTTCTCCGCTCAGGAATTCACTCGTGTTTCAACTGTAAGCAGTCAGAGGGCGCGGTGCGTCGCTGCCACGTCCCACACTGCGGCAAGTTTTACCACGAAGCGTGCATCCGCCTCAACCCTCTCACTGTGTTCGACAACAAGGGCTTTCGCTGTCCACTCCACACCTGCCTGAGCTGCCACTACGGCTGCCGCACCAAGCACAAGTCCACCAAGGGTGAGGCTCTGCAACATTATACATGACACTTTTTTTGATAAGATTCCTTTACATTTAGGGATACTTCTAGTGCTGAGACTTAAGTTTGTGTGTATGTGTGTGTCTACATTTATGTTCATTTGCTGAACTTCATAGCGGCTGATGGAATATTATTGTGGCTTTTAAAGCTGTGTGGGAAGGACATTTTTGAGTCAACTGTCCATTTCAATAACTGTAAAGTGTAAAGGAAATGCGTCATCAGTCTTATCAGCCAGGGACATTATGACAAACAGGGAGTTTTAGAATAAGTGTAAAAGCTGATAGTTGATTGTGTTCAGTTTCCGGAAGTGTGCTTTGTTTGTTTTCTTTGCTGTAAAAAAAACTTTTGAACTTTGCAATTACAAGCATTTAATGTAACGGTAAAACTAGCTGAAGGTACATGAATTTATTTGCAGAAAGTGTTCTCTTGTTCCTTCCAACTGCAGCCAGGCCACATTATTTTTTATTTTTTTTTAGAGCCTTGAGCTCCATAAAGACAAATTTTCCTTTACGCCTTCCCCCAGCAGAATAAAACCTAGTTTTGTAGACTTGAGACACTTTACACTTGTATTTCTCAGTAATGTAAATCTGTCTAATCTGGCGTCTCTCTTACTCTCCGTACTGAAGGTAGGTTGATGCGTTGCCTGCGCTGCCCTGTCGCGTACCACGTCGGTGACCTGTGTGTGGCTGCGGGCAGCGAGATGATCACAAACACTGCAATCATCTGCACCAACCACTTCCACGCCAAGAAGGGCTACAGCCACCACAGTCATGTCAACGTTAGCTGGTGCTTCGTGTGCTCCAAAGGTTTGCCACTTCTCCTTTCTCACCAATAAGAAGCGCAGTTACCAACAGCCATATATAGACCTTTTTGTCTACTTAACCAGCCGGCCGTGTGACAGTCATTTCAAGGCTCTTTTGTGCTTTTAAAACCAAATATCACCAGTTGGGATAAGTTACCCAGATCCTGACGCATCTTGGCAGTCAGTTTAGTTAGGTAGAGGACAACAAAAACAAAAGCCACATTCACTAAAGACAAAATGCTGTTTAATTCATTTTTACCTGACTGTTAATGTGGATTAATTTTGTATTACGTCAGGAGGTTGTATTTATTTCAGGCGACGTGGCCCACCTCTGCTATCAAACACTGATTGAGACCCTGCTGTAATAGGATGTGTGTGTATATAGCTCTACAGAGAAAGAATTATGGGAAGTTTATAAGGTTGTAGATTTTCCAGATGTTCTAGAGAAACAAAGTCTGAATGATTAATATCCCCCTATATCACTATAAAGGGTAATAAGGAAATCTGCACTGCACTGCAGCTTTACCGGGACGGGTGTGGAGCTGTTAATTGCACAAACTGCGGTGTCTGAAAATCAGAGGAAATGCTGACCTACAGCAGTTCCTGAGCATCAGTTTTCAGTTAAAATCACAGCCAATTTTTGCAGAGACTGCTTTAAAGTCATATGGGAGTTATTTTGTAAATTTGTGGCCTGCTTTCAGGGTTTTATTATCATCTTGCAGCTCTCGCGGGCAAACTTTTGAAAATTGTTTCAAAATTGATGTTTAAGTGATTAAACTTTTTGCCTGTGCCTCTGAGCCACTGCACCAGTCCTCCTGCTGTAGCCACCCAGCTTCACAACCAAAGCACACAGAACAACTGTACTGGTGGTTGATTAACAAGTGTGTTGTACATAGCAGTCCCCCCCCCCCCGCTGCTAGTCAGACTAAACCTCTGTGTTTTATTGTGCTTGTTTTTATCGCCCTCGTACAGATGAGTCAACTGTACTTGGTGTAGCTTGTTATACACCCATCTAAACGTCTTTTGTTGCAGGGGGGCAGCTGCTGTGCTGCGAGTCTTGTCCAGCAGCTTTTCACCCTGACTGCCTGAACATCGCTATGCCTGATGGGAGCTGGTTCTGCAACGACTGCCGGGCCGGGAAGAAACCCAAGTACAGGGACATCATTTGGGTCAAACTGGGAACATACAGGTGGGAAATTAGTACTGATGCAGTTTTTCTTTTTGTCTTTTCTTTTTAATCTCGCCCAGAAAGTCATGACTCTGAATAAAAAATAAATAAATAAAAAACCCTGCTTATGTATTTCGTTCACCTCAGATGGTGGCCTGCAGAGATCCACCACCCCAGAAACATCCCCACCAACATCCAACACTTACGACATGAGATTGGAGAGTTCCCAGTCTTCTTCTTCGGCTCCAAGGATTACTTCTGGACTCACCAGGGCCGAGTGTTTCCATACATGGAGGGAGACCGGGGCAGCAAGCACCAGAGGACTGGCATCGGCAAAGTGTTCAAGAATGGTGAGGATCAGTGCATCCTAGAAATGCATTAAATATTAGTAATTTAAACTCATGAAAGACACATTTGTAACCAAAGCTGCATCAAACCACATAATTACAGAAAATGGTTTTTCTTTTGATTTTCACATTATTCATTTTAAGTCAGATAATATTTTTAACATACATTATTCATCATTCTATACACTAAATTAGACAGATTTATATGCAAACCTGTATTTTCCACTATGGTAAAAAAAAAAAGAAATACAATATGTGAAATGTTTATAATTTAAAGTTTTGAGACCGCAAAGAAGTCTTTATAATAACACAAAACATTATTCTCTCCCAGCGTGGTTAACTACAAATATTGTGTTGTTATAAACCTACTTCTTACATTCAGTCAGCCACTGTGACATTTCATTTCAAGCATTTTTCATCAATGAATGTAACCACAGATTAAATGAAAAGCAATGACACTTACATTGTTTTGTTTCCTCAGCTCTGTTGGAGGCTGAAGATCGATTCAAGGAGATAAAAATGAAACGAGAGGCCAAAGAAGCACAAGAGAACAGCAGGAAACCACCCCCATATAAATTTATCAAGGTCTGAAATCTAAAAGTGCTTTTGTCTCTCTGGTGCATTTGAAGACTTTATATTAAAGAATGAATCAAATTAAATGACTAGATATTTAAAATCCTCTATTATTGATGTTTCATGATGTTGAAATCACCTTTTTCCTTCTTTCAGGTCAACAAACCTTTTGGTAAGGTTCAGGTCTACACGGCAGACATTTCTGAGATCCCCAAGTGTAACTGCAAGCTGACAGACGAGAGACCGTGTGGGTTTGAGTCAGAGTGTCTGAACCGCATGCTGCAGTATGAGTGCCACCCTCAGGTGTGTCCCAGCGGGGAGCGCTGCTGTAACCAAGACTTCACCAAACGTCTCTACCCAGAGACCAAGATCATCAAGACGCCCGGCAAGGGCTGGGGCCTGGTGTCTCTCCGGGACATCAAGAAGGTGAGGAAAGAGGTTTCATCTTTTAGTGGGACCAGCCGATGTATTATCAGTAACACAAAATACTTTTATTGATTGATTTTTTTAGCTCATTAAATGTCACTCTGTTGATTGTAAAGTTTAGTGTGATTTAAACAAGTGTGATTAATGTCACCATAGAGAAGGACACAAAGATTAGAACATCTCAGTTGTGTTTTTGAGGAATAACTTCTCGCTATTTTGTTTAGTCACTTGAAATGAGATAAATTGTCCGATAATAGCCATTGGGAGATATAGCGCTATCAACCAATAACTGACGAGAAATGCTGAACATGTGTTTTGAAACCAGCTCACTTTTCTATATTTGTCCAGCGGAACGTTGTGATAAGTTTATTTTAAACTTTTTTTTTTTTTTAAAGGTGTGTATATAAGGGGACCATATCAATTGTTTGTTTATTTTCAGTAAATTAGCAAATTCAAATCGGTGGATATATTTTCAGTTTTTTCGTTGTTTTTCTTACTGTGAAATATCAGTATAGGCCTCAAATATCCTGTATTGATTGGGCTGTAAGTGACATGTTGTACATTAGGAAACATTTCTGGTTTCTTTTTCTCTCCAGTTTAAAACAGCCTTTTCGGCAGCTCATCCTTCATGAGCACAATGTATTACAGAAAAGAGCGCAAAGATCAGCTTAGGATAGGACAGTGCTTATTTATATATAGACACTGTTTTCACTTTGACATTAAAGGGTATTTTTATCTCTTTTGATCAGGGTAATAAAAGCCACTTTGATTTAATGTTTGGGGAGTGAATAGTATTTTATAGGCGCTGTAGCCAATACTCATCCGTTTTTGAAATACTTGGATCGTCGGAAATTATGCTCCTCGGCTCTGGACGTTTCTAGTATCGAGACTACGCCGGTCTGATGTGACATTATTCAAACAGGGTGAGTTTGTGAACGAGTACATCGGAGAGCTGATCGACGAGGAGGAGTGCAGGGCGAGGATCAAGTACGCCCAGGAAAACAACATCACCGACTTCTACATGCTCACCATTGACAAGGTTAGTGTCAAACTGGATGTTGGGAGTGTGTTTTGCTCGCATTGTGTCGGGGCGCCGCACGCTCGATAGCAGTACCATTTCTACTGGGAGCAAAATGAACAGATTAGTATTGAACTGGGAATGTTGCATTAGAGGCAGCTGTAACATCGTGATCAATACAACAGATGCTTTCTCAGCTACAGGTCAGACCTGATGAATCCTATAAATAGAATTGTTAAAGCTATTACGTAATATCATAAAAAGTGCCTAACTGCAAATTAGGTAATAAGAGTAATAGGAGTGGATTTGCTATATATGTTGTAATGTTGGTACAGGAAAATCTGGGAAATATAATTTGAAAATAATAAAAGTTAACTTAGAGGAAGGTGCAACAAATAATTTGGTCTTCTTTATCTCTTTAAGGACCGGATCATTGACGCTGGTCCGAAAGGAAACTACTCTCGCTTCATGAACCACAGCTGTCAGCCCAACTGTGAGACGCAGAAGTGGACGGTGAACGGCGACACACGGGTCGGCCTGTTCGCTGTCTGTGACATCCCAGCAGGTGAGACGAGTCACAGACAAGATTGATGAGCTTTGCCCGCAGATTTAGTTCTTATTCCTATTCAAATCCTGTTGATTTTTCCTAACTTTGTATTTTGTGTTGCAGGGACTGAACTAACCTTTAATTACAACCTGGACTGCCTCGGCAATGAGAAGACCGTCTGTCGCTGCGGTGCTCCCAACTGCAGCGGTTTTCTTGGCGATCGACCTAAGGTGAGCTTCACTTCGTAGCTGCAGGTTCATGCTCAAATTTCAGTTGAAATGACATTAAGTTACCAAAGTACATCTATAAAAGTGTGTTAAATAGACGGTACCGTTTTTTGGTCATTAATACAAATGTGTGTTTTAGAAATTCTGGCTATATTTAATTTGTATGGATCTATGGGTCAGAGATGTTTTCATCAATCAAACCTTCCCCAACCTGGCGTCTCCTCCACAGAACTCAAACGGCCAAACAGCCGAGCCAAAAGGGAAGAGGCTGAAGAGAAAGTATAAAAAGAGGAAATCTGAGGGGAAGAAGAAGTCTGAGGATGAGTGTTTCCGCTGCGGGGACGGAGGGCAGCTGGTACTCTGTGACAAGAAGACCTGCACCAAAGCTTACCACCTGTCCTGCCTGAACCTCACCAAGAGACCCTTTGGTAAGAAACCCCGGAAATTCTACACTACAGACGTCACAGCGTGTAGTTTAATGCTGAGTCAGATCCTCACTGCATGCAACTAAAAGGACAGCTTTAGATTTTTTAATTTTTTTTTTATTAATTGTCAATAATTACAATAAACATTTTTACAAGAGTTTTATTTTAAACCAACGCCAGGTCTCTGGCAGATTTTTTGACAAACATGAAAACAAATAGCTGCTTCAGAGGGATTTCTAAAACATGTCATGCAAAAGAATACACATTTAGACTGTAAACGTAATATCAAATTTATGTAAAAGTTATGTATATGTTAGCAAGGTTTGGGAATGTAGAGATAAGGAACATTTTAATTCAAATTTCCACCACCAGTTATTTTTGATCTCAGATCAGCTGTATTCTCAACTTTGTGTTCGTATGACTCGTCCTCGCTCCCTGCAGGCCGCTGGGACTGCCCCTGGCACCACTGTGATGTCTGCGGGAAAAACTCTGAGGCCTTCTGCCAGCTCTGCCCAAACTCCTTCTGCAAGGCTCACCATGAGGGGACGCTGCGCCCCTGGCCTCCCACAGGACAGCTGTGCTGTCTGGAGCACGACGAGCTAGAGGGACCGGCCGATCAGGATGTTAACTCTGAGGCGACGACCGCCACTGCTGCCACCATCGCCGGCCGTCCTGCTAAAGGCTCCAGAAAGGCAGAGGGAGCCGAGGCTAAAACAAAGGGCTCCAAGAGGAAAGCAGCAGAGGCCTGAAGTGACCTTTGACTCCTCAGAGAGCAAGAACCACATATTAAACTCTGACACTTGCTTCCCCCCCTTCATGAACAAATATACACCCCGCGTAATAATATCACAAGAACCAAGGCACTGTACATCTTCATCAGGGAAAGCCGCTGATCTCTCACATGTTCTGCAACAGCCTCTATAGCTAACCGCTCAAACGTATCATGTTTTTTTTATTTGTTAACATTTTCAGGTTTATTTTCACTTGTCTGCACTGAGGCCAGCCATCTGTGGTCAAAGCACAAAGCAGCGGAGCGAGCGCAGGTCAGGAAACTTCGGCTAGTGGATTCCAACTCTCATTCTTCCAACAACCAAACTGTCTTTTGTTTGTTTGTTTTTTTTATAGTTTTGTTTTGATTATTTGATTTTCTTTTAGAATAACAAAAGGAAGCAGTTGGTTTCTGCAGCGTCACCGTCTGCCAACTTGAATCTCAGTCTCCCCCGTCACTCAACACGGATGATCTTGAACAGCAGAGTTTTATAGCTATATCTATATATGTGTATATCAAAGACCAAAATTATGAGTACTGGAAAAGTGCAAGACATCAAACAGGTTGCCAAATGGATTGTTTTTATTTTTATATATAGTGTATATATGCCAGATGTAATATCGAACACTATGGATAGGCCTCAGATGACCTGTTTACTTCTATTTCGTAGCCATAGGTTACATTTAACTGTAGACATTTGTTTGCTATTTTACAACCTGCTATTTTGTTTTAGCTCAGTTTTACTGTTTAGATTTGATTTTCTCTTTCAACTTTTTTTTTTTTTGTATCGGCATGCTGAGCGATGGCACCACACATTTATCTACCTTCCTGTCCAGACAACAAGGGATTACAGAAAGTATTAAACCGAGAGCACTCTTAAACTGCCATCTGACATAGAAACACTACTGGGAGGTTTATTGGTCTTTAATGCTCTCTGCTTGATGCTGAACCAGTTAAATGAAGGAATATCTGCGGTTTTCTTGGACATTTTTCTATGTTGAGTTATGAGTCCTAACCTTAAGGTGCTGTTTTGTTTTGTGACTGAAATATCTGAAATGCAAAGATTTTAATGTATAAATATAAATAGACACGTCGTGCTGATTTTGAAGGCCTCCTAGTGTCACTGGCTGGGCTTTTTACTGAAATTTACTGAGTACTTCACCTGTCTGAGGTTTTAAAAGAAAATAACAACTGTTTCAAATCCTCAGGAGGTTTTTAGTCTCAAAACTGCACCCTGCTTGTTTAATACTTGAACAGAATAATAAGACACTGGCTGAGACGTTGTGACTCCAATTTTGGTGCATTTTTCATATTCGTACTTGACATGAAGCATTACAAGGAGGCTTAAGAAAACTATAGAGTACCGTGGCCATTCGGATCACCCCCAGTGGTCCGTGATCTCCAGCTGCATTTCTTAATCCTCAGCCGTACTTAAAGCGTGATGCTAATGCTGCCCTGTTGTCGACTGAAGTTACTGTAATTACCAGTTTTCAACTTTGTTAAATACCATTTGCAACAACTCCGAAACGCGCTCGCAAAAACAAATATGGTTGACTCATCGCAATCCAAAGTACGTTCAGGTTAAAAGTAATTTTCCAAGGAATGATGCCAAACATTTCCCGGTTCCAGCTTCTTAATTTGCAGTGTTTCGTTTGAATATCATTCTGTCTTGGACTATTGGTCGCTCAAAACAAGCACTTTGATAACATCCTCTTGGGCTTTAGGAAATAGAGATTGGCTTTTTTTTTTCAATAAATCCCCCCTCAAAAAAACAAAAGCTGGCTGTCTTCACATTTTGGAGGTGCCAGTTTGCCCTAACTGATTCTGTTTTGAGTGGATCTGTCACTTTTAAGGCATTTTGCAGAGTCTTCTGGGTCAGTTATGACGGTGTTTGTTTTTTTTTCAACAACACGGAGGCTACAGACAATTCTTGGGCCTTTTTTAAATCTAAGTTTAGAATCTGAATCTCCCCAAACAGGCGGCTTGTTGCAGCCATTTTCTCTGAGAGCCACTTGTTCGTGCTTTTTCTCTGGGATCCATAAAACCTCTCCAGAAACCAGATTAGAGTTGGGAGTTTTATTTTATTTTTTTTAAGTAACTGCACCTTTTGTGTGTTTGTTTTGGTTTTTCCCAGGGCGTGTGAATGGGAAATGTCCAGAGGTGCAGCAAGCAAGAGTATTTTCCATTTGTATGTACCCGAACCTTGTGTTGAGTGAATGTAGTCCAGCCAGTTATTTTTGTAAGCACTGTAATTCCCTGTAGAGCTGAAGTGTAACGTGTGCGTAGGGGTTTCTTTCTGTAACTACTGTCATAGTAAACCAGAGACTAATATGTACATAATGTATAAGTGGTCATAGTGATGCATCTATTGTAAATATACAATTTTCTGACATTGTATGTTCTCGTTTTTTTTCTTTTCTTGATGCAGTGCTGAAACACTTTTGTGCAGGATCTCACGTCCGTTGAATCGTGCAATAAAAAGTGACCAAACATGCATCTACTACCGATTTCTCTATTGATCTCTTGTGACAGACTAAAACTTCATATTTCCTTTAAAGGTTAACAGTTTAATCCAACTGAGCTGAAATAATTTGTTGATCAACAGAATATGTATCTGCAACTATTGGAAATTGATTTGAAGTTGTTTTTGAGTAAAAAGGAAAAATCTGGTTTCTTACTGAACATTTTCAAGTTTAGTGTCTGAACCAAAACACATACAAACAACCTTACTCTCACTTTAACACTTTTATATGGTAAGGTTTTTAAATCATTATAGGTTTGGTATTTGTGTCCACACCTCAGTTTAATGACCATGCAGAGAGTTCCGTGTCCAGGTTTTGAGAGATCCCCTTCGGAGTTTTGTGTTCAATACAGTATGTAGAATTTCATGTGCTCAAAGTACTGAAAATGTACATTTAAAAAGCTGTGCGTCTTTACAGAAAGTGTCCCATTGACTTTTTAATTGGAACTACTTTCTCATGAAGAAATAGTCCCTATTAAAACCCTTTACTATGAGGTCTGTGGAGTATCTAGAATAACAGAAACGGTGTCTGGTGAGAGATGTCAGTGTTCAATCTTAGTCAATGATTAATCATGAAATCAGTGAAATCCCGTTCGGCGCCATGTATTTTGGAGGAGGCAGAAATTTCTGAGGTAGGGGCATCTCAAACCTTTGGCACTTTAAAACTGAAAGAGTATGCATAGTCTGACACCACCTGTGGTTAAGTATGTTTTTGTATTTTGAGTGAACTGACACTTGTAAAAAGTAGTTTTTGCAATTATCTTAAGTAAATTGGTGCTTAGAGGGTAAATCTATAGTTTTTAATCAAGTCTCCTTACATGCATATTGTGACAAAATCAACATTGATGTCATTGTTTGGTTCTTATTTCTAACCAGTTTCATTTTAAAGTTTAATTGACCAAATTCTGTCACACAAATTTTAATTTTGTGCAAGTAAAAATTACACAACATATCAAAACAGACAATGTTGTAGTTATTACAACTGTATTAATTTTGTCCATGTGGCCCACTCTTAAATTTAAACAATTTAAACATGATTACAGCTTTTAAAAATCTTCTGTTTAAGTTTCCAAAAATGTAAAAATAGTCTGAAAAGGAAGGTTGTTTGTTTGTCCATTATTATTATCATATTTTAAGTATTTCCTCCTCAATTGAAAAAAGGAAGCATTTTATTTCTTATATGTAAAATTTCCTTTAAATTGACAAATACACATTATTATAATAAACTGATTATGATTTTAGTATGATTATGTGTCTGTTTGTTCCAGCAGTCAGTTTTCAGAAATTTCACGGATGCAGCGTTAAAATTAATTGGATTACACTACAAACTGAAATTCAAACGGACATATTTGGTGTGTTTAGAAACTTTTGGAACTTAATTGTAATTTAAAATCAAAGTTCTGCAGGTTTTCAAAAATTAAGGATTGTAAAGATGGACAGACCACATATCCGATAACCTTTGAAGGATCAATGCTCCAAAAATGTGGCTTAACTAATTCCTGTTAAGGTGCTGATATCAGGCTAAAACAATCTTTTTTTTTTTATTCTCACCCAGTTGATTTTTTTTCCTAGGTAAAGTTATCTTGAATAATTGTGTGCACTTATTTTGAAAGAAAGGCAAAATGAGTAGTTGAAACCGTGATCAGCATCCACATGATTGGTTGAGTGCTGATCATGTGACCGCAGTTACGTGAGGGAAGTGTTGAGTTCTCCCAGCATGCACTGGGGCTACAAGCTGTTGCCCCAAAGATGATTTTTATACAGTCTGATTGTTCATCATTTTGTGTTCATGAATCATTTACATTTAGGTTTTATTGTTCAAATGACAGATTGTAATTTCAAATTAAATGCCACGTTTTGGCTTTATTAGTCTTTTAACAGGCAAACTTTTTATTACTATTACTATTTATTTAATTTCAGATTTAACAGGACAATGCACACTACATGTATAGTGTGCCAGAATTAGTCAAAAGGCTATTTTACATCTGCTGTCCCTGGACAGATCTTAATGTCACACCTAAAAATATAAAAAGATTAAAATAGTAAATATAATAAAGCTTTTTATTTTGTTATATACTTAGTCACGTTTCCCGCACGTTTCTATGGGTGGAAATTAACAGATTGATTTCTCAATAACCTGCATGTTATTGTTGAATCATCACATCAATACCTTTATTTTACATACTAAGAAAGCCAGCCATGTGTATTTGTAGTTCTCGTATGAGCCCAGTCTTGTTAACTTGTTCTTTAATCAAATGGTTACTGATTATAATCAAAATTTTGCCAGTTTTATACTGTAGTCTATTTAATTTAGGCCAACATTCTTGTTCTGACGCTTGAAACAAGAAAACATATGTATAGTTCTCAATAATAGTAGGGCTTCAATTAACAATTATGTTCATTACCTGCAGATGATTTTCTCAATCGTCTATAAAATGTCAGAAAATGCTGAGAAGAAATTCCTTCTCTATTTCTCAAGGCTTAAAGTGACATTATCAGATGTCATTTTTCTCAACCAAGAGCCCAAAAACCAAAGATATTTCATTCACTAGAACATAAAACTGAGAAAAACAGCAAATGAGCACATCTTTGGTTGAAATAACACTTAAATCATTTAAACAATGGGCGATAGTTGCTGATTAGTTTAATTTACTGTTGATCGATTAATCATTTCAGCTCAAAAAGGTCTTTGTGGTCTTTTGATAAATTTAACAATACGCAGTAAACTAAAGATGTGTCCTCCCCTCCATCTGCAGTCTGAGTTGTACCTGAAAAAAGGTGAACAGTGATCAAACACGGATGACGGACTTAAATCCTGCAGTTTTTATTCCTCTTTAAGACAAAGACAAAACAAGATTCATTTTGCATAACAGTAGTACAGCAGCGGCTGAGGGTACAAAAATGCTTTTTTTATTTTTCAGTGTAAAAATAACTCTACTCGTACCTCACACCTGTGCCGTCCTCTCGTAGTGCAAACGCTTCAAATAAAAGTTAGGCACATGATGGATACGATCGCAGTTCAATTACACTTAAGTTCGGTCAACAACGTCATTCTGCGTTCCTTTTTTTTTTTTTGTTTATTCCCAGTTCATAATGTTCAACAATCGCAGACTGAAGAGATGATGACGGAGTTTAAATAGTGATAATAGGACAGTTTGACTGCCTGTTTGTAGCTGTTAGGTTCGATGAAGCTTGATAACAAATACCTATAGAGTCCTATTTCGCTGACCGGATGAGGATTATCTATATCAGCATTTTCAACTAAGTGCAACTGAGTTTAATACTAAGTCAAAAACAAATTACATTGCAAGCTTATGGTCCCAAGCAACGATCACAACTTCTCCCTAGGTGATGCTTGTAAATATCTGAGTGAGCATTTAAGTGGCAACTTGACATCTTTCTACTTTTTAAGGAAAACAATAAAAAATAAAAACTAGCTCAAAATAAAGTCAAAGGTAAAATATTTCCCAGATTTACATATGTTACAAATAAAAAATAAATATCAGCTCTGTTTTTTAATCTAGGCATTTTATGATTCAACCAGAAAAATAAAAAGGTACAAAACGAGACCGTCGTTCTCTTCAGACTAACACAGTGCAGCTTATTTTCAACAAGTGTGCTCCGCCATCAGGAGGCCAGCACGCCTCGGCGGATGATGTCAGACCCGTAGCGCCGGCTGAGAGAGGAGTCGCCCCTCAGCTGGTGGGAGTGGCATCGTTTCAAGCAGGGCTCCACCTCGCCGTCGCCTGGTTTGGAGTCGGAGGTGTAGCCGTCGTTCTCCGTCCCTGAGCGGAGTCTGGTCCTGGGGTACGACGGCTCTGGCGTGTTGGTCAGCGGCCTCAGCAGCGGCTTGCAGTGCTCCGCCTCCTCCGGCTCCTTCAGCGTTGCCGTCGGAGGCCTCTCGGCCCTCTTTGGGATCCTGAACTTCCCCCAGCCTTTAAGATGCCCGGACACAGATCTGTGAGAGCCGTTCGCGTGGGTTTTCCTCAGCCAGCCGTTGGCTTTGGCGGCGGCCGAGGCCACGCTGGCTCTGTTGATTTTAGAGTCGGTCGTCACATCCAGAGAGACCGGGTTTCTTTTTATCGTCCCTTCGGCCATGAAGTAGTCTTCTGTGTCAGAGTTCCTGATATCGACCAGCCTGATGGACACAGTCTTCTCCAGATGTTTTGACCCGAACCTGTTCTTTACCTGGCTGGGGAAGCTTTCCGTCACATCGCTCCTCCTCTTCCTCTTCGTCTCTTCTTGTTCTTGGTCGTTGTCTCGTTTCCGTCTGGCCAGCGCCTCGTGTACGGGCCCCGGGGCCTCCCTCCTTGGGCATTTCCTGCTCTCAAGTTTGTGCAGCTTGACCGTGATAGTTTCCTGCACGACTTCTGGCTTCTGAAGCTTTGGGATTGGAATCTCCGGGCTGATCTCAGAGTTTGGGATTTTGGCGTCGCTTGTGGCCTCGGCAGGAGCAGAAGACTCTTTGATTCGGGAGCCTTTACTGTCCTTCGTCTCCAGTGGTTTGCTTTGATTGTCCTTCTTGTGAGTGTGCGGAGCGCCAGAGGGGCCTTTTCTGACGCTGCTTTTCCGTTTTTCCTGCATTGAAGACCCTCGTTTGGTTTTCAGTCCAGAGTGGCTGCCGGAGGAGTGAGACTGGGAGCCCTGAGAGGATAACCAGCCCAGAGAGAAGAGCTTCTCCAAATCCTTCGCTGAAGGATCACCTGCAAAAGATAAGTGATTCAATACAAAATTAGGGCAATATTTTTCTCTCTACCGACCTTCAGTGGATTGCCAAAATAAAGGATTCTCTCCTGGCTGTAATTAAAAACTGAAAACTAGTTACTGAAGTTTTTCTTTGTACACAAAAGATTTTGGTCTGATGTAATGACCAACAGCAGAACACAGATCTTCACTTTTGATTATTGTGTCGTTTCAGCATATTTTACAGACACCATTTTGTGATGAAGGAAAATAGCCTTATTAATAACATTACAGTTATTTAAACCATAACTATCCAGCCATAATCAAAATTAAGAGTTTTTGAAATGTCATCTTAAAACATGTTCATTTAAATCCTTTCAGGACATAGATGTGGAACAGATAATGGGAGATACTTGGTGTATTTTTTTTTTTTTTTTAAAGCGTAAAAAGGTTTTATTTAGAGAAATGGACTGATGAGAAATGGTGGAATTTGTATCATGAGAAATACTTTATCTTTTATAATTAAAACTACATGTCACATTTCTTGTTTCTGCATGTCCATGTACACAATTTGTGTCTTTTTCGTTTTGTGAATATTTGGACAAATGTGTCTGTAGGTAGTTATGAAACTAAACCAAGTATTTGCCAGATGTGATTCTCCTTCTACAAGCTACATTAAAATACTGCATAATCACTGTATGCCAGCTAAGTTTATAGATTGTCAATTTTTAAAGAAGCACGTCAGCCAGACTATTGTGTTTCAACTTTGAGTGAGATTTTTAAAGCTGGGCTAATAAAAAAATAAAAACAGAAATCGTAGTCGATGTTTCCTGAATGACATCATTTCACATGTCGTCTCATCTTGCTGACTCACCTGTGAGCAGCTCGTGGTCCAGCAGTCGGACCTGGTGCTGGAGGATCTGCTCCTGGACTCTCCACAACGAGCGCTTCATCTTCTCCCTCCGAGTCACCATGTAGGTCAGGTTACGCACCTGAGGAGCAACAGCAGGTTCTTTAGACAGGTCTATGTTTATTTTATGTAGGGTACGTACACTGTTGTACTGTACAGTATAACTCACAGTTCTTCAATAGTGCTTTCAGGATAATTATATTTGCAAAAACATTCTATGTATATGATCTAAAGCCTGTATGGTCCAGACTACAGGCCCGGGGTCCAGATCTGTTTCATAAGGCCTTCTAAATGTTTAGAATTGGAAAAATCTGACCCTCCATATTTCCCTCAGCCTTTTATTAACTCCTCCACAGTTTTTCAGCAGGATCACAGAAAAAAAAACTAACCCATTAAGTTTTGGAGGGGATCCGAATCACAGGGCGGATACACAAATTACTTTTAACTTTAGTTAACATTGTGAGATAGGTCAGTTGATGTTCATGTGTTAATACAACTTTGTTTCAATATTTGATGTATGTGCAGTTATTTGTAGCTTAACATAATGTTTTCTACACTGTATGATAGATACTACAATTAATTTAATGTGTGTAAATATTAGTTTGTGAAACCATACTGGTTTGTGTAATAAAGGTAATTTTCTATATGCAAATTTAAATTGGAAAAAAAAAAAAAAGCATGTTCACATCCTTGAACGTTTTTTTTTTTCCTAACACACTTTCATGATGTTATTTCACTCTAAGCATTTGATTTGTGCATACATGATAAAGTGCTTTCTGGTTTTCACAAATGTTTGTTTATCAAATATTTCCAATTTAGAACTACACAATAGATGCACGCCGCGACACTGTATGCAGGATAAGCGGTTGACGATGGATGGATGGACAATAGATGCACAGCTGATATGCTTCAGCTAGGCAAGACCATACTGTGACACCCTGTAATTCTAAAAGTTCTGGAAACCTACCCAGACATATGAAGTGTTTGCACTTTACAGAAGACCGAGCAATAGCCTTGGCGGAGGTCTGCGCTCTCTGACTGCTCTTCTAGGTTGTTGTTTTTTTGCGGGGGGAATTTTTTTGCCTTTTTATTTGAAAGAGACAGCACAGTGATAGGTTCTAGAAATGAGGGGAGGAAAGGGGCCGGCATGCAGCAAAGGGCGGCAGGCTGGATTCATATCTGCAATAAGGGCTCAGCCTTCTACATAGCGCTCTACCAGGTGAGCCAACTGCACCCCAATCATCTAGTTTTACACGAGATAAAATGTCTCTTGCTAAACCTCAATAGAGGTGGACAGTTGATTATTTTTTGTCTGTGGATTTTTATCTGACTACTTTCTGTCTTACCTGCAGGAAAAAGCTGCCGTTCTCCATTTGTATGCTGTATAGTAACAATTCTGTAGGTTGAAGGTGTTGTAATCTACACAGCTTTGCATTCATGAGGTTTCCTATCTCTTTTCCTGCTGTAACATGTGAATCTCTTGGGATCAATAAATCTTATCTACAAACAAGCAAACTTTTCCACTGCACTCACAATTTAAGAACATTTATTTAAACTTTTATTTTGGCCTACAGGAAGTCATTCTCTCCTCTTGATGAGGTTTCCCTTGTGGACTCTCTGTGCTGCTCTCTGAGCTCCTGTGAAACTTGGTGCAGGTGAAGAAGAAACCTACCCTCTCCAGGTCCTGTCGGAGGTGTGTGAAGAGCTGCAGGCGTCGCAGCAGCACCTCCTGCTCGCGGCGTGCCAGGCTCTCCTCCTCGTCCTTCTTGGGCGTGAGGAGCGGCTGGTTGAAGTTGGCTTTGCGTTTCAGTTTCCAGTACTGGTAGAGGAAGTCCACGACGTCTGGCGGCAGCTTCAGGCGACTGGCCACCTCGTCCACCTCCACAAACTGGTAGAAGTCTTCCTCCATCGCCTGCAGCTTCAGCTTGCGGAGGTTGACTCTCTTCTCCTGCTGGCGGCTGCTGAGCCCCTCTAGATCGCCAGGCGCTCTGTTGATGAGCTGAGGAGCCACGTAGGACGACGAAGAGGAGGAAGCGTCTTCCTCCACTCTGACCCTGCCTCTCCTCTTGCACTTCTTGTCTCTGGCGCTCTCCTTCTCCTCCTCGCCTCCAGAATCTCGGACCCTGGACTCGGGGCCCTCGAGCCCGGAGTGTTTGGGGCAGTAGGACTTGAATTTGACCTCGTCATCCTCTGTGAGGATCGTGTTCATTTCAAGGCTGGCGTGGAGGCCGCACGTCACATGGAAGGCAGTCCGGCAGTTTTTCGCTGAGCACTGCGGCAGCAAACAACATTGTTAGACCTTTAAACATTCAAAACACATATGACTTATAACAAACTCATTAACTGTGTCCTGCATCCACACTACACACTAATTCAAAGCAGAATCTAAAGGAAATTCTTGAAGCTGGGCAAAAATAAATTAAAGAAATAAATCTATTGTGGATGGTGCTGAAAAAGATGCAGTAACAGTTCAAAAAATAACCATTATTATTTTTGTTCTGATGAATTTAATTGGCAGTGAGGTCGTAGTTTGATTGTTTATTGACGTTTTGTCTAATTTCCAGTTATATCATTATAAAACATATGTATGTATGTTGATTTCTTGCAAATTAACTGCAAAAACAGAATACAATGAAGATAACTGTACAGTATTAGTATGTAAAATGGAATTAGGACATACGCTATTTAAGCAAAGTAAATGTAACTGTTCCTAAAGACAACTTTAACCACATTTCAACTTGACATGTGATATGAACAAATTATACAAAATATGTTAAAACTGTTAAAAGGAAAGTTATGTACTAATTTCAAAAACTCATTTTGGTATCTGTAATGAAAGGTATTGATATAATTTTGGCACTGCTGTCTCATTTACCCACACATCTCTCGGTCCCTGTTTTTACAGTCTTTCATTGACTACACCTGAATAACAGAGACTTTTGAACAAAATGTTCCAGCTGGTAAAAATGGCAGCAGCTGAATCAGCAGGTACACAGCTACAACACATTTAAACTTGCTGATACCTGCACTTTAATTTAAACCCAAAACACTGTTTTTACATGCAGTCCCCTCCAAAAGTATTGTTTTTGTTGCTCACTGAAGACATTTGGGTTCGTACGTACCGATTTGGCCCATATGCAGTATGCAAACAAAAGCAAAATCTACAGTATGCCAAAAATACCCGGATGACGTACTGATTCAGGAAAAATCTGCAGTATGTGTCGGACAAGTCTATCTCACGTAATGTGGCCCTTAATGCAAAGCGCCACACCTGTAACAACAACCCGTCTTTTCTTTCTAGGACAACAACAGAACTTGTTTTACAATTTTCATACGCTGTTTCATCACTAAATCCACTTCTAACAAGTTTTGAGGCAAGAAATCAACTGTGTAGATTTTAAATATCAGCATTTTTAGGGAAATTGTTGACGAATCGAGAATGTGCTCAAACGTTTTCGGGGTTGAGAAGCTCTGAAAAGCTCACGGAGCCCCCTGGTCCTCACGCCAGCTCACGGAGCTCACAGCCACACAGACCTCTGCAGCCAACGCAGCAGATGAGTCCAGCAACAACGTGAGATGAGGTGAGACAGTTTAAATGTTCTTCCGCTGTTATTCTGTCTTTCATTCTGAGTAATGTTGTAACATTAAATAAAGAGACGTCTGGCTCGTGATGGACAGGCTTGTGTATGGTAGAAGCACTTTGATAAAATAAACAACAATAGTGGAATGAAAGGGGGCTGTTGTTGCTTTATTATTTTTCATTATTCTAAATAGACATTACATTGTTAGTGTAATGTTACAGTTGTGGTTACAGTACTTGCTTTTTATTTTATATAATTCTTATTTATGCACCATATACCGAAGCAAACGTCTGCTACAGATCGGCTGCAGCCCTGTTCTCATACATACAAGTTTTAAGCGTACTTACATTTATATTCCCCTTATTGTTCCGATTTTGAAAGCCGGAAACTAGCAAAGCCTGGTGTAGCATGTTGCAAAATAAATCTATTTAACAGTTTCATACTACATACTATCCCTCATACAGTATGCAGTACATACTGCTGTTGCCAGTAGTATATGTAGCAGGCGGTTCCGAATACAACATGAAGACCAGAGAGCTGTCAATGGGAGAAGAGCAAGCCATTGTCAAGCTGAGTAAAGAAGGAAAAGCAAGCAGAGCTATTGGACAAACATTGGGCAGAGCAAGCACAACAATTTGGGATGTCCTGAAAAAGAAAGAAACTACTGGTGTACTGAGCAACAGATGACGAACAACGGCCAAGGAAAACAACAGCAGTTGATGACAGAAATATGGTGAGAGCTGTGAAGAAAACCCCCAAAACATCAGTAAGTGACATCAGCAACGACCTCCACAGTGCAGGCGTGAAGGTATCACAATCCACTGTTCGAGGAAGACTCAGAGAGCAGAAATCTAGAGGCCACTCCACAAGATGCAAACCGCTCATCAGCAGCAAGAATCAGAAGGCCAGATTGAAATTTGCGAAGTAGTACAGAGATGAGCCACAAAAGTTCTGGAACACAATCTGATTGACTGATGAGACCAAGATTAATTTCTACCAAAGTGATGGAAAGGCCAAAGTGTGGAGGAAGAAAGGAACTGCTTCTGATCCGAACGTAGACTGTATATAAAAAGGATCCGAAGCATCCAAGCTCATCTGTGAAGCATGGTGGAGGTAATGTCATGGCCTGGGCGTGCATGGCTGCTTCTGGAACAGGCTCATTAATATTTACTTACGATGTAATTGACGATGGTAGCAGCAGAATGAATTCAGAAGTGTACAGAAACATTTTGTCTGCCAGTTTATGGAGAAATGCATTGAAACTAATGGGGAGGAAGTTTATCATGCAGCAGGACAATGAACCAAAGCACACTGCCAACAAAACAAAGGACTTCATCAGGGGGAAAGAAGTGGAAGGTTTTAGACTTGCCAAGTCAATCACTTGACCTGAACCCAATAGAGCTGCATTTCACCTCCTTAAGAGGAGACTGAAGGGAGAAACACCCCGAAACAAACAAGAACTGAAAGAAGCTGCGGTAAAAGCCTGGAATAGCATCACAAATGAAGAATGCAACAGTTTGGTGATGTCAGTGGGTCGCAGGCTTGAGTTATTGCAAGCAAGGGTGTGGTCTAATACAAACAGTGATATGTCCTGAGTTGTTTAACACATCTAGATGAACACCAGGAAATGAGAGCTAAAATTCTGAACTCTTGTCTCAAACTCATCTTTTGATCTTAAACCCAAATGTCTTCAGGGAACAATAAAAACAAAGGAAATGTCCATTCTAGGGCTGCAGCTAACGATGATTTTAGTATTCGAAGCTTCTATAGATTATTTAGATTATAGATTATTAACGATTCATCGATGCGTCGTTTAAGAAGTACTTTTGCTTGGCGGCGGCTGCGCCCCCCCCCAATACTTTTGGAGGGGACTGTATATTCATTATTTCATACTTGCATTACAAACTAATTTTAATTGTATGCTGTTAATCTCAGATAAAGCTTAATGAGAAATATAACAATAGACAAACACTTCAGAATGTGTGCTGACTCTTCAGCTGCCTCCCTCCTCCTTTAACCTGCTGAGCTGTGAAATCATCACAGTTTCATTTCCCACATTAATTTGGTTGTGAAAAGCAAAAGAAACGCCCCGCAGCGCGACTCCACTACACCGAGGATATCTCAGCATCACGCTGGCTCACGCTTTGCTTTCCACATCTCATTAGACGCCTTTGTGTTCCTGCGTTAAGGGAGTGAAATGTGAGCGGTGACTCTACCTGTATACACGCTCCGGTCTTCTCCTTGCACAGGCAGCAGATCAGAGCCCATCTGTTGCTGGGAATTTGGGACACGTTGGTGATCGGCTCCATCTTCTCTGGATTCCCGATGCTCACCTGCGCGGCAGATTTAACATATAATGGGTCACGTGTTGCTCACAAGGGGGTGTCGACTCATGTATAAATGCAAATACATCAACACATGCTGAAACAAATTCCCACCATGTGTGCAGAAATGCTCCAGTAGAAATAAAACCTACTGGTCTTTTCACAGCACAAACAGCTGCCAGTGTTTCAGGGTGTTTGGTCCAATAAAAAAACATGACAAGTGAATTCATTCAAACTACTTACAATATCAGTCATAGGTTTGGACGCACCTCCCATTCACTTGAGAGCATCCAAACTTTTGACTGGTGCGCTACATTTTCATGTCATGTGTTTTGATTCATTAAAACATATGTGACTTTACTCTGAGTAAATATTCTAAAAACAGCAGAATCTATTAGAAAGCTCCAATTTAATGCTGTAATCATGAAAATCTCTATTTTCTTTTACAGACTATGGCAGGCACAAAAGTCTTAGATTATTTTATAAATAACAGGAGACACAGCCAAACGTAAACACTAGTTTCTAGTTAGCACTTCTATTGTTGACAGTAAAAATTTTGTTATGAGCGGGAAAAAGTTCTCTGATATAAGCGTTTATATAAAACCCTGCAATGTAAAGTGTTTACCAATTTAAAAATAATTTAAAATCAAGGCCAATGTCAGTAATAACATTTCAGAGACTTACTTATGAGAACTTAAATGTGCTTTTTGCTCATTTCTTTAAGACTCACACAGTACTGGAGCACAGTATGAAAAATGGGAAGAGTGACATGTAATTTAAAAAAAAGCCAAAAAGGATTTAATATTAAAAAAAATTAAGAGACGTATCAACAGGTAGATTTTATCTTCACCTCTGGAATCCACAAGGCACAGCTTACGTGGACCCACTTGGTTCCACTTCGGGTCGGCTTCATGGCTCCGCCCTTCTTGGGACACAACTGGCACTTTGGCAGGATGCCAAGGGCGCAGATCCGACACAGCCAGCTGCCCTTTGGGACTTTCTGGATGCCGTAACACGCCTGGTGAGAAACGCAAACAGAGGGCATCTCAGCTTCCAGACAGCAAACAGAAATCAATACAGCAGCAACAAATGAAGACGCAGAGAAAGTGTGTGCGTACGTGTGTCAGATGAAACCACAGCAACAGCTGATCTGAAATTGTCCTTTTAATTTTTCTTTTTAACCACAGAGAAACATCTTCAGACAAACAAATTAAGTCTCTAAGTGCGAACACGGTTTGGTTAAAAACTGTTTGCTGCGTTTAATGATTTCGCTTTGCTTATTACTCTTCACATTATCTGGGATTTTAACATCACAAGGCGGAAGAACCCTGAAATTTCTATTTAGTTCCCATCATTTGTAGAGCTGCAACAATTAACTGATTAATTGAATTAAATGAATCACTACTGAACTACTTTAATAAATAAGTCTGAATAATTTTTTAAGGAAAAAAAATGTCTGATTCCAGCTTCTTAAACGTGAATATTCTCTGGTTTCTTTACTCCTCTGTCACAGTAAACTACATCTCTCTGGGTTGTGGACAAAACAAGACATTTGAGGATGTCATCTTGGGCTTTCACAAACAGTGATCAACATTTTTCACCATTTTCTGACATTTTATAGCAACAACTAATCGATTAAATCGAGAAAATAATGAGCAGATGCAGCTCGAAGGTTGCTGCCCTTATCATTTGGTTTACATTTAAGACATTCAGCTGATGGTCTTATATAAATTAATTCAAATGAGAGAGACAGTAGAAGTTAAACTCATGAGGTAATGACATTATCAGGTGTACAAACTACAAAGAATATTAAATAAATGTCACATAGGACAAAAAGCACTTTGGAAGATATCAATAGCTCCGTTCAATAAACGTGTTTTGTCTTAATACTTAATAAAAAGTAAAGAATTATTTTCCATCAATAGGTTTTTCTCTCATGTAAAGGGAGTTAAGTGAGCTCTGACCTGGTGAACGCAGATGTTGCACTTGTCGCAGAACACCATCTCGTTGTTGTCTTCCCCGTCGGGCGACTGGCAAACGTCACACACCACGTCCTCGTCGTATTCGATACCGAGTCCCTCCTCCGTCTCCATGGCGTGCGTCATGTTTTCGTGGCAGCAGTGCTCAAACTCCTCCATCACCCGCTCCATGGTGATCTCGTCCAACGGCGGCATGGCTGGAAAATGAAGGGAGTAAAAGTTGTCCCAAAGTTAAGGACCTCCTCCAGTTTCATAATTTTCTTATTTTAATCTCAAACTTTGTGACATTATACAACCATTGGGCTTTTACATGTTCAATTTAACTAAAAGGTCATGGAGATTAAACAGAAAATGCTAATTTATCTCTAATCCTAAATAGCTGACACTTTGAAGCCAACCCTACATTACCCAACAGTGAAAATGTTCATAATTACAGGTTTAACTATGAAGTCACAGGCCAAAAAAAAAAGACACCATAGAAAGAGCTCGACTTCAGAAAACAATGTGTATCTAAAATAATTGCTCGACAGAAGTAGAATAAAATAAAGCAGCACAAAAACAATAGGAGTAACTACTCGAAGCAAAAACTTCAGCTTTTTTTTCCAAAAAGGGTGGCTAAATTCCCTCAGATTCAGAGTCTACCTTATTTTGGGAAAAATCTGTAGTGTCATGTATTTTGAAAAATGTAAAACATTCAACAGGTAGTAATTCTTATTGTCAGTGATGCTCAATCATAAGACTCTGACCTGTTAATAATTCCTGAACTGTTACACAGTTGGAATAAAATTAAAAAGTAGACTTAAAAATTCAAAAGTTGATCAATTGCAATTTAGGCCTTCAACTGACACTTAGCAATTAATTTAGTGTCTTACTCAAAGAAACTGAGACTATCAGTGACAAATGTGCTGCTGTGCCTTCCATTTCTGCAGCTTGACCTCTCCAAAGAAGAATTTAAACATTGAGGATAAATTTATATACATTTTAACATCAAATTAGAAAGAAGAATCTTACTCACAGAGCAAAAAACACGAACCCTTCTCAGTTAATTCACTTTAAGTTTTTAAAGACACGCTGCTTTGGCTAGAATCCAATTTCTGAACGATACTAACATAATGAATGCCGGCCTTTGTCAAATCAGCCTCAGGCCAAACATCAGCTCTGTGACTCACCCATCTCTGCAAACTCCTCGTTTGTGATCTGCAGCCAGGCCACGTCTTCCTCGTTCAGGTCGTAGCGGCACATCCCCTCCGCCAGCGTCCGGATGTCCACGTAGCCCAGTGCCTCTGTGCCCGTCGTCCGGATCAGCTTCTTTGGCCTGACGAACATGACCTCCTTCCCTTTCTCTGCCAACACCCTGCACAGCACAGTCAGGAGACATGTCAGTTTACTGTCCCGCATTTACAGTGTGGTACTAGAAATTCTCCATCCATTAATTTTCTATACTCTCTTATCCTGTGAGCAAATCTGAAAAATCTTTGTCTCTTTAACGTGTCCCTTCATGTTGGGGTGCTTTGACTTTATTTTTTTTACTACAAGCAAGAGACATTTTCTGTTCCATAACAATCAAAGAGCTAATGAGACATAAGATACATTTTCAAGGTCCTGCTCGAGTCATTAATAACTAAGCATGTTAAGAACCAGGGTGCAAACAGATTTTTAATCATTTGTTTATCTGCTGTTTTTGTTTTTCAAGCATTTGTCAAACTTTGTCCTTGCTAGATAACAGACTTGTAAAACCAATTTAACACAAACCAAAGGCTCCCTAGCAAACAGGCTTAAAAATTTGCCACCTGCTACACAAGCAGCCGCCTCTACACAAAGCAGTGACATCTCAACTTTATGAGCCTGTCCTAGATTCCCACTCAGGACAATACGGGATCAAACATGTGGTTTTGTCGTTTCAAAGCGGCCTTTCTTTCTTTGACCTACCTGGCGACAGGCTGTGGGATGGACTGAGGGCTGACGGGAACCTGGACACCCTTCTCCCACTCCTGCCTCCACGGGTCGGCGAGGACGTAGTAGTCCTCGGGGTTCAGCTGGTACGAGTCATGCACCTTCATGGCGGTGATCAGGTCCGTCCTGAAAACCTGCAGCAGTCGCAACAAGAGTCAGCGCACTTTAACCCAAGCGCTGTTGCAACGGTGTTTGCAACTTTTCTACTTGTAGAGGAGAACTCTCTCAGAAATGTTTTGTTTTTGTTGCTTTACAGTTTGCCGCTGTCGGAGGAAGTGGGGAAGGATCAAGCTGTTGTTTCTGATATAAGTTCTCTAAATCTTCAGTGCAAATGTTCACAAGTGAAAACACAACAGTGAGAAAAATTATCAATTTAATTGGACCATCAATATTCACACCCCGTATATATAATACTGGTGTTCATTTATTTAATCTGAAATACTACTAATTATCCTAAAGCTCATATTAAAAATGTTATTTTTGGCATTAATATACACACACACACACACACACACACACACACACACATACCTTTACAACCAAAATAATTACAACTTTTTCCCATATAGAAACTGCATATCACGGTTGGCAGACGTTGAAAACAGGTTGAACTACCATGTTGCAAACAGACAGCCAAACAGAAACCAGCCAATCGGAGTCATTGTTTTGTTTTGATTTGATTGGCTCTTGTTGAAAAGGGAATGTACAGTGGCCTGCATGGACCAACATTACATTACATTAGATAACAGGTATGTGTAAAAAGTAGTAAGTAAAAAGCGGAAGATCAGATTACTGACTAATTTTGCTGTTGCTGATTGATTGATTAATTACATTTTTGATTAAAATATTTGTTTTTAGTTAAATGCATCTTTAAAATGAAACAGAACAAGAATGACAGCAGAAGATAGTTCAAGAACTCTGACCTTCAAATGTGTTCAATAAACTCTAATAATCCTACAACCCCATTATTACTGTAATGAGTTTAGACAGACGTACCTCGGAGGGTTTCTGCCCGGTCCCCCTCCTGGGCTGTGATGAATGTTGGGACCAGCAGGTAGAATTACCTGGAGGAGAAACATCACAGAGTGTTACGGGTCTCAGCATTTCTCCTTTCTCCGTTTGTGCTGTAGTTCTAATTAACCTAACGAACCTCACGTCCTCAAAAACGTATGGATTTCCCCCAACAGGGAAACTTCGAGAAACACATGTGTGGCTCATTTGGATAGTCAAAATGCTGCAACTGGTGTTTTCTGTTTTCATTTTCATTTCTTTACGATTCACCAATTTCAACTTTGGGTCACTTAGTATTTAAAACCACCCGTGTGAGACCAAAGCCTTCATTTGCACAACATGTGGGACATCAATATGCTGCAGGATTGTTTTGTTAACGCCTGTTAAAAAAAAAAAAAAACCTGAATCAGACCTCGGCTAAATACTATTTCCAGTAAGAGCTTAGGGTTTGTTTTTACCCCAGATGACACATCAGATAGACTGGATGATTCGTAAATCCAAACAATCACAGGGAAGCATTTTCACATTTATTTATTTTGTTTTCTGTAATTAATAACTTTCCCCAACATTTTACATGATGTGATAAAACCCAGCCAATTAAGGATTTTGCAGAGGATGAAACAAATGCCACAAAGTGTTTCTCAAAGCCAGTCTGTCTGACCTGCCACGATGTCTTTAAAGGTCCAAATGCACCTCCTGTCCCTACTCTGTCTCCTGTTCCTCAGACTGTGGGCCTCACACTTTCTCTTTTCCTTAAACTTTCTCCATCTCTCGCCCTTTCTTTTTCTTCCTCTTGGTTTCCTTCCTGTACATCACGTATACATTCACTGACACTGACAGTAACAAGAAATATTTTCAGGAATAGACAACTACTCAAAAGGGAATTAGTACTTGTCTGATAAAATTAAAAAATATTGACTCATTATCTTTATGTGATGATTTACTTTTAGCCTACATTAGATTTTGTAGTATTTGAGGATATAAGTTAGCATTTCCTATGTTCTGCTGACCTTATAGTGCAGCTTTGCACTTTCACTTGTGAAATTAAGGAAGGTGGCAGGACTGTATTGGCCTCATTCAGGCCTATATTTAGACTTGGTATGAATGAGTCAGCACAGACAATAGTTTGCTTACTTCCATTGTCGGAGTCATCACTGCTGCTGGGGTGCCTGCTCCTCTTCATTGTCGTCTGTCCGCGGAGCTACGGCGTAGGGACGCTTCACAAACCAGACAGGAGGTTAAGTTACAGAAGCTATTGATGACAAGCTGCAAGATACACAGCTGTGATAAAGACAAATGTTAACATTTGGGAATAAGATGAGAAGTCTGACTCAAAAGCTGCCACACACACACACAAGTGATTTTGTAGTAGAATTTTAGGATCACAAGTTATGGCTAATTAATCCTTGGCACACTTTTAGTGAGTGTAAACACAGCACAACTTTAGAAGACACAGAAATAACCTACACCATTAAACATAAATGTAGTTGCCACCATAAATAAAAGCATGACACAAACATTAGACATGTTGAAGTTCAGGCTACTATCTGTGCAGCCACCTTGCCCATTTTTGAGAGTGGGTTTGATCATTAAGCTAAGAAATAGACCATGTCTCTCGATATTAATAATACCTCTATACTCTATATCACTTCTTAGACGCAGACAGGTAAATATCCGAGCAATACGGTTGGACAAGAGTGTAAAAATATGTCAGTATCCTGCAGCCCCTTGCCCATCTTCTGAGGGTGGGTTTGACCATTAAGCTAAGAAACTGATCGTGTCTCTCATTAATTTTGATACCTATTTACTAGGGGGGAAAAAATCACTTCTTGGACACAGACAATCCCCGAGACGTAACGGTGGGAGAAAAGTGTAAAAACGTGTCACTATTCCAGCTGTTTCCTTGCTGATCTGGCAGCACACCAACCCCGTAGGGACGTGTACACACCAGTCACTGTTCAGCAATGTCAACAAGAAGTTACCACATGCAGCACACACAGGAAACATCGCTTTGCAGAGCTCAGAGTTCAGCATGCGGCGTGCAAAAACACCAGCACGGACTCCCGACAGGTGGAAATATCTCTTGCCAGCGTGTACAACGGGAAATGTGCAAACCCTAATTTAGCTGGCTGGGCAACAGCAGGCTAGCCACAGTTTGTGTGAACGCCCCTTCTTCCAGAAACTATCGGCTAGCTAACTTTGCGGCTGCCTTGAGCTGGCAGGCTACACAACAGCTTGTCTTTAGCTTTGCTCTAGCAACATGGTAACACATGCACAATGCGCAATATTGTGTTTTTAACATGCGATTGCAATTACACCACACAGCGTTGCATTAAAAAAAACAACAAAAAAAACAGGCTGCAAATTGTAGCTGGTTAGCCAGATAGCTAATCTCTCACTAGCGTTATGCAACACGAGGGCCCACCCACACCCGGCGCCAGTGTTGTTTATGTTAAGAATGAGGTGTTTTTATAAGTGTTCCGCTACGTCCTTAAACTTAAAATAAGACATTTTGCAAAACTTGTTCATAACAGGATGGTTTGCGGTTGATATGCACGTTTTTCTACATGCGTAGTCTGCACGTTAATATTAGATGACGTTAGCGGTTAGCAACAACAGCTAGCTCGTTAGCTGAGGAGGCTACAGCAGTTGGTATATTAGCATTAGCCACTGCTGCTAACATAACTTCTACAGTGCCCCTTATTAAAACCCCACAGTCCCCGAACAGCTATCTGTAACATGTAATGTGCTAATAACGGATTTGAACAAACTACCTGATGGACACATGCGTGAAAACTGTTGAGTAACACGATGATGGTGCGCTATCTGTGGTGCTAGCCAGCAGCGCACAGTGTGGCATATTTTACCAGCGATCCACTGGCTCAGGTTAATCTTTGGCGCCATTTTAAATGACGATGTCGCGTTTTCCTAGCGGACTGCTAAGTGCGACCATACTACAAATATATATACAAACTCCTTCAAATAGCCCGTTAGGAACATTATGGCTGATGTGCACACTAATTTTAATCCGTGTAGAGTATGAAAATAATTTGGACGGTACATACAGAGCACGACAGGGCCGCTGAAAGCCGGTGAGTTTGATGTGAAGCGCAGTTTTATCCGTGAGTTCCGCTTGACCCGCATTCCACAAACACAGAGCGGCGGCCGAGGAGGAGGTTACCCAGCGCGGACTGGAGCTCCGCCTGTGGGCCGCTGGGGGGCAGCAGAAACCTCTGAACCGGTCCTGGTACCAGTTATCTCAAACAGATGCAACGACTCATGCAGAAATTATGTTTTGCCATTATGTTTCCAGAGTTACACACAACAAACCCACGTTGCCCGGCTGCCAGTTTAAATGGCAACAAACATGATTAAAAAAAAAAAAAAAAACTTAAAAGACAATATACACAAATAAATACATAACAAAAATAAGGAAAAGAAAAATTATCTACTAATATATTGTGTAAAGTGCATAATTTCACCGTTGCGATAGCTTTCTTGTTTTAGGATGAGTTTATTGTTCAAATGTATTATTCAATTGCTTTCTTAAATATTTGTATGACAATAGTAAATATACATTTGTTGATATTATATGTATATAATACAAATTATTATAAGATTAATCAAGGTAACAGATTAATCACTCAAGATTTGTAAAAAAAAAAAATTGACAGATGACAGTGAAAAAATAAATTTTATTGGAGAACTCCAGGGGAATATAAACATAGCAAATAAAAGACAAAGAATACACAAAATAAATAAATAGTTAAAAAGGAATGAAAAATTTTTTATATATTTATATATATACAAGTATAGGCTATTGTGTAAAGTGCATAGTTTCACATTTTTGATAGCTCTCTTGTTTTGAGATGAGTTTATCCTTCCAATATAGGCCTACAGTGATTTGGCATTAGTACATTTACATATAATCAAAATTATTGTAAGATTAATCAAAAAGGTATTTGTCTGTAAGATTACATTCAAGATTCCATCCATCCATCCATCCATCGTCAACGCCTATCCTGCATACAGGGTCACGGGGTCTGGAGCCAATCCCAGCTGACATCAGGGAAAGGCGTGGGTACACCCTGGACAGGTCGCCAGTCCATCACAGGGCCATTCAAGATTCGTAAAACCAAAATGATAGATGACAGTGACAGATGACAAATGCAGGGAAAAATTATGTTCACATCACGTTTGTTAAAATGAAAATGTCAACAAACATGATGTGAACACATTTATACAGTCTATGTGTGAACATACATTTTTCCTGCATGACTCAGCAGTCCCACTGACTGACAGTCCTTTTTTGCAGCTTTATCTATTAAAGGGACAGACCACCAATAATCCTTAATCTTGCATTTTTAAGAAAGGAAATACATTGGAGTCACAAGACAGAATAATAAAAGTGTGCACCCCGGCTCCTCTGTTTCAAGAAACTCAACTTTATTTATGAGTTAATGTTTTCCAGATATGTACTTGTGTAGAGTTTAAAGTGGTTCAGAATCTCTTCAGGTCTTATTTTCAAAACCAATTCAATCAGACATCATCTAATCTTCCTTTTCTGAAACATCTCATTGTTCTTTTATGTCATTTGTGTTTTTTTAAAGATCCTTACTATTACTGTTGACCTTTGGCATTGTTTAGGCTATATTTTGGATTTGCGCCTTAACATTTAAGACACTTTCATTTCTGACATTGTGTACATTTGTTTTGTGCACCTTATTAATATATTTTGTTTTTATTTGCACTACTTTGTACTGCAACTGCTGCGCAACAGTTACTTAAGAAAAGTTTCACATTATCGTATTGTTAAATTTACTTAGAAAAAAAGGATCTGAGTACTTATTCCCACAACTGAAAAACTGCAAGGATAAAAGACTGCAACATTAGAACTGCAACATTTTTAAAAAATGTATTTTTTATTTTTAAATGTATTTAATCTGGGGGATGCATGCTGCCAACATGTGGAATGTCAGGAGACAGAAAACAAGCTTACAGTACCATGTGATGATTCAAAAAGGACAGTTTTTTTATGTTTCTATCAAACATCTTGATATTTTGCATTCACATTATCTATGACACAGATGCAAATCACAAAAAAATTATATAGTCAACTTAAAAAGAAAACCCTGCTTACACTGTTATCTAGAATGTATTCAATATATATGACATTTTCAGCACTGAGATTATGCAAATTACTTTCTATAAACACATGATGTTCTGGAAATGCAACAAACAAACATCAATAAGAAATACTACAGTGATTTTCCTTCAACTAGAAGTTTACACAACTACCAGCCCAAAATAAGAAACGCAGAACTTTCTAACACCAGCAGAGGAACGATGGCGATAAAGGGTTGTCCTGTAGACTCTGATCTACATACAGTCTGAGGGGGAACCTGAACTCATCACACACACAGAGCATCACAACAAACACACAGTCACACGTAACAACATCACAACACAGTGTTTTCTGAAACTTTTAGTTTTTCACCAACAGCAGGACAAGTATACACAAATGATGTAGAACTATGTGTGCATGTGTCTTTGTTACTTTTAATGTTATTGACTTAAAAAGAGAAGTAGTCACAAAATAATAACAATAAATTTATGCAAAGACATTGGATGAAGACTTTCTTCAACAGTGTGCAAACTTGCCCAAAACATCTGTTATTAACTATTACTTTTATCTTCACATTTAAATTGGATACCAGTCATATCACCCTGTAGATTAGATGGACATGTTACAGTTTAATTATCTGTTTTGTTTGTTTTAAAAATACATATTATGGGAATGTGTGGGTATTCATTTTAAATATTAAAAAAGGTGAAAAATTCGATGAAGAAAAATCTATTTTATCCAATCCAGGATTTTAAATATAAAATTTCTCGTAAAAAATGTTTTGCACATTATTTACAGACTATCTTTATGTGACGTTGGTCCAACATTTAGGCTGACCGTTCATAAAAAGATATCTATAATATGTTGATAATGGGTTCATCATTTTTGGAATGCGCCTCCATAATACACCAGAAACATTGTGACCAATAAGAAAACTTTAATCTGATATGTACCCAGCACTATTTAGTGTTTGATTCTGGTGATAGGCGGCTGATATATAAAAATATATGACTGCAAATATTGAGCAGATTTGGGTATTTTTGAGAATCTCAATAAAAAAGTCAAACAAGCAACAAAGTAAAACATCTTATTTTGCTTTTAAACATTATTAAAATTAGGCCAGTCTAATATCTACAAAATGACTGATACTATATTGGGTGTCTATGGGAAACCTTTAAAGGAATAGTTCCACATTTTGTAAACACTCACTATTCGCTTTCTTGCAGAAAGTTAGATGACCCACTCTCATGTCTGTCCATAAAATATTAAGCTGCAACCAGCAGCCAGTGAGTATAGCTTAGCATTAGCTTAGACTGGAAAAAGGGAAACAAAACCCGCCAATTTAACCACAACATGTTGTTTTTACACTTCAATGTTTGTGCAGATAAAACAAACAAGCTATAATTATCTAATTTACGAGCTTTAGATGTGCTGGTATGCAGATTTTGTTACCTTATTTTGCACAGAACCAGGCAAGCTGTTTCCCCCGGTTTTCAGTATTTATGCTAAGCTTCCTTAACCTCAATACAGAGAATGTTTTTATTGACATGATCCTTGAAAAACAACTTGAGTTATAGTGATAATAATCTCACAAGGGTTTACCACAACATATACTGCAGACCCATGTGCACTGAGACTGGCAACGCTTATTTTTTCCACCTCACAACTTTTCCAAGGCCTTGAAAAAGTTGACCTTTCTTCACTTTCCCACTCTCGCGTGACTCAGTCTTAGTCTGAGCTCATCTGATGGCCAAGATCGCGTCGTAGGTCTTGCCGGTCCAGCACACCTGAATGTTGCTGAAGCCGGATTTGTTTAAAATTTTGGTATACTCGGATGGAGGGCGCTCGCGGCCCTCCGTTTGCACAAGCATGTTCAGGGAGAAGGTCTGAGCCATGACGGGCCCTCGTCTGTTCTCAAACAGCAAGGCTTCCACCAGCAGGACACCGCCGCCTGCCAGGAGGACGAACAAAGACACTGAGTACTGAAAGTTGTGAATCTGTGAGTGTAAAAACTGTTTCTGCATTTATCAGCAAACATGTGTCAGTACAGAGGAAGGTGGTAACTAATCCAAAAACACTGATACTTGTCTCTTCTTTTCTGCAAGTTCCCAACATATTCTCCCCAAGTGCACAATGAAGCATCTCCATTCTTTTCTGTAGACTTGTCTTGTTTGGGTCAAGAGCCTGGACTTAGTGTCCAATAGGAGGGTGTGGACACAAAGCAGTCAGAGGTCCTTCGACTTTCAAAACATTTGTATTTATATTAATCTAGCAAATGTGATGAGGTTGGTCATGATGCTTTTCATGGTAAGGGTAGTAGTTTGGTAGGTAGATTTATTTTATCACAATATAACAGGTTATATAGTGAAATTGAGTTTGTAACTCCTTTCTGCTACATAGCAGACAATATTCAGCAGTGCTGAGGATGAATTTGAGTTTAAGAGCCTGATAGCTTGGGGGGAAAAGCTGCTCTGCAGTCTGGTGGTGCAGCAGCAGAAACATCTATATCTCTTCCCAGAAGGCAGCAGGGTGAACAGGCTGTGGCCGGCTGGGTGGGTACTGTCCTTTAGTATCCTTTAGGCTCTGCGTAGGCACCTCACCTCACCGATATCACTGACGCTCGGGAGATGGGTATTATGGATAAATAATGTTATATTTCCATCTTTACTAAGAACACAGTCCTTTACAGCCTTATTTTTAATTGATGTTCAATTTGGAAAAGTATTAACTGTAAAATATAAATAAAAAAACATGTTTAACACAAAAATATGTAGAGGAGGATAATTTTGCTCAGTATAAATGTCTGACAACATTACAAAGAGATAGACCTTTTTATAAAGAGTAAGATCCTTTTTCTTTAACCAGAAACAGTCGCTAAATTGCTCTTGGCAAAGTCACCAG